CACAGTAACAATGAACGATAAGAACAATTTAGAATGGAAATGTGTTTTGCAATCACACGGTGAATATCGATTTCCGTTAGAATATCTGATGGAATGGCCAGTAGAGAAGCGTGTGGAATTCAAGGAAGAATAGAAACTAACTTCTTAGAGCATTTTTATTGTAATAGTACAACATTTAATTTTATTTTCATATTCAAAATATAGTTATACTTGAAAATTCATAGCTCTATCTAGTATTATACCGATAGATTTCAATTATTCATTTGCACTGAAGAAATATCGTCACTATATATCTGAGAAAGGAGACATAGTATTTAAAGCATACTCTTGTTTGGGTCCGTATATGGATGTGAGTATTGGTATGAGTTAAAAGGAAACCCTCACTTGCACCACGTCAAGAAAGTTGATGTTGGCGATGACACTGCTAACAAATCGTTAACACTTCTTACTTAGTCATATACGTATGTGATTATAGTAGTTTTCATGAAGATTTTTCAAAAAACGGGTTTGAAGAAACTGGACTAAATAATCAAATTATTCTTGAAGGATATCTTGAAGATATTAATAATATTTTTAATTCATATGAAATACTCAATTTATTTGATAAACGAGATAAATTGAACACTGTTTATTGTGGAAAATGCAAGCTGAAAGAACCGTTGGATAGAGACCTGTGAGGAACGCCTCGGACCCGATGATTATGACTCCGATGGAACTATCAGTAACATTTCGTTATAATATCTATGAACCATTGCTCTGTTACATTTCTAGGAAATTCTGTTAGAAAAAATGGTCCGAAAATAGATAGAATAAAATAATCTCTACACGATTATCAAGAACTATTGGATCGTGTTTCATATTTCAATTGTACAAGAATTTTCCTAAAAACGTTTCTTGTTGCATTATGTTTGTTTTTGGTTGATAGTCTGGTGTGAAAGAAACTGGAATAGCTGAAAACGATCGTGTGACATACGTATATACATTCTTTAATATAATCCTGTTCAAAATAATCTTCACTTAATATTATGTATGTCATCGATTGGCTCATCATTTTGAACTCGTTGTCGTATATTTCCATCATGTGTTACTTGTTCTACATCGGGTTGATTTGTGTGAATGATGACGGTGACGTGTCACTATCTGTTGTACTGTGAATCGTTCGAAAAATATCCATAGCCCAAAAGGCAAACAATTCAGCGTTCAATTATTATCAGAATTAAGACGAGATTATTACGCAACATTAATATCATATCTTGAATCAATTAATTAATTTATACTCTAATAATTATTCTTAATGATAACAAAATATAAGGGAGATGTTTTGTTTTTCATAGAGATTTATAATGATTATGCACGAACACACGTTTTCAACATGATTTCACAGAAACTAGAAGAAACTTGAGGGTGTTGTTGAAAAAATGAAATTAGAATTAGTTGAATTATAATAACAATTGGATTGAAAATGAAATCCTGTAAAATAGCTAAACAATGATGGAAACATTAGGTATTGATTAAGGAAAAGCTGATGATGTATATATAAAAATAAAAAAATTTCGTATCATTAGAAAAACATTTTTTCGGAATCAGTCTTTCGTGTTAATCTATTGTTGAAGTTCGAATATTTCACCTCACATTATTTTATTTCAAACAATAACATTTCTTTACTTAAATTTGGTTCGCCCTTATTATATTTATTTTTTTAGTCCAGATTACTCGTAATCGTTTATAAACTATAAGAAAAATTATAGACTATGAAAAAATTCAAAACTTATCCATAACACGTTGCAAAGAGCAATTCTGTTTCTTGTTATTATCGATATCGAAAAGATATGCAGCTTTATCACAAATCAAGAAAAGTTCTCATCATATATTTAAACAATTTTTCACAAAATCTTTATAGATTCAAAGATAAAACATCACAATTCGAAAGAAAGGCAATCAAAAACAAAAAGAAAGACTACAAAAATCTAAAGTCAAGTAATAAAACAAGCATCAGGAGAATTGTTAATAGTAAAAATTTCGAATGCTTCTATTCAACGTGTACCCAATCTTTGGTATCGTCTTCATCTTTATCGTCTTCAAAACGTAATTTTTTCATTGAACGTGTAACACGATCATTTGCAAGTTGTGTTTCTCCTGCACCCAAATCAACACTATCAAAATCTGTTCGAAGCCAATCTAACATTTCTGTTTTAAATACAGGCGCGGGCGCTCCTGTCGTTGGTTTATTTTCATTTGAATTTGGTTTTGTATCAGTTGTTTCCGGTAGTGCTGGTAATCTATCTTCTTGATCGTGATCGAAATCATCATAATGCTGTGCATGAATTTTATAATGATTTTTCATACGATATGCTGATGGAATATATTGATTGCAAACTTTACATGTACGTTTCTTTAATTCTTTTTTCACTGATGAGCAGCAATAATCAAATGGTAACATTTCATTCTGAAAAAATAAATAACTATCATTGTTTATTTCACTGATGTCTGATATATGAAATCATTTTATCGTTCTATCGGTACTGCTCATCAATCAGACAATTTATATTATCCTTTATAAACATTTCCTATCGTATCTTATGTGCAAGAGGCTATAGTATATATCTTGATTTCTACTCAAATTCTATTATTATTATTATTATTATTTGTAACCTGTGTATGTTGAATAACAACACCATGAAATTGAATGCGTTGAAATAATGAGCCATAAAATTGTCCTCGTTGATAATCTCTATCTGCCATTCTAATACCATAGGGTGTACGTTCGAATGGTACAGGTGCTGGTAAAAATCGATGAGGAAATATTTCAACATAATTTGAACGCCACGGTCCACAACATTCAACTGAATTGCAACGAATGATTTGTAATGTATATTGCGTTTGTAAAACATGTATGGAACACCAATATTCATCAATATCATATTTTGGTTGTTCGCCGATTTTTTCTCTCGGTGCACGAGCATTTTCTTGATAATATTCATCTCGTGCACTTATACGAAATTCGTGTCCTTCTTCTGCTTCTTCTTCAGCACAAACTCTATTCAGAGATTATTGAAAAAACAAAACGAATTACAAATCTAATAAATCAAGAAACATTTACTCTCGTAAAATTTCATCCATAATAAATCTAGCATCGATTTGTCGACGTTCATCATCTGATGTAGCCGGTGGATTGATATATTCAGCAACACAGGGAAATCCATCGATAACTGATTGATTCCATGTTTCGGCTAAGATTTGTCCAGCTTTACGAAAATTTAATTTTTCTAAATCAACATTGATTGTTCCACCTGATTCATTTAAATGTGAACCAAAATGATCATGTGGTAATATAAGACCAGCTAAATCATGCGACAGTGGAGCCATACGACGTTCGACTATATTGTAGGCTGACTGGCCAGGACTAAACATAACATATGTATAGATGTTGAAAAGGATAAAATATAAAAACTTACGCATGTGTAAGAACAAAAAGTGCGTCTGAGTTATATTTTTTAAATTTTCTAATACTCGAAACGAGTGTTTTTGGAAAACGTGGATTTTCATCAGGGCCACCATCGACAGTAAAAATAACAATAGGTTTCACTTGGCCACTTTCATCACGTGCTACATTTTCAAATTCTTTTAAACAAACAAGACGATCGAAATCTAATGCATGTGATTCAGCACTTGATAGATCGTGTTTAGCTGATCGTACAGCAATGTATGTTGGACCTGAATAGCCTAGATCGCCATCTTCAGATAGAAGACATGCTGCATAAACACTTGGTGTTAACTGATGGCGTGGTGCGACTGTCCAATCGTGATCAGGTAAACGTATACGATAATCCAAATGCATTACCATTGAAGCTTGAACACGTGCTGCTGGTAAACCCAGCGGAACTTTACATTTATCATCTTGTGATAAATAAAAAATGCAATCATTGCCGAATATCGACGCTAAATCTTTTATATAACGTATTGTTGCTGTAGCAAAATGTCCATCTTCATGTTTACCATGATCATCATTTTGAGCACGACGAAGACGAACTGGTACAGTATTAACATGCCGACGACCATCGATTGATTTCGCACGATGTGGTAATAGACTAAAACATGTTTAAATAATACTGTGTAACATGTGGAAACAAAAAATTCTGAAAACTAGTCATCCAATCGACAGAATTTGTTAAGGATTTATATCTCAAGAATGGAAAAATAAGAAAGGCTATACTCATACATTGACCAATCATTCAAAGGATATTTTTTTCTTGTTTAGAAAAAATCGCTATTCAGCTTTTTCATTTGACTAGAAATGTAATTCAATTCTCTGGTAAATTTTAATTCCTATTGAACTGATAGTCAAGCGAGAGTAATTTATGTTAATGAGAACGAGAAAAAAAGGTTGAATAAAAATGCTGATACGATTTTTGAGTGGTTGCTTATCTGATATACGTATATATGAATTTGTTTATATACCGATAATAGAGTGTTGTTCGTTTGATATCATAGCCTCGTTGTTTAATTTTTTCTCTTAAATCATCTAATGTTAAACAAGGTCGAATAGTTTCTGAGCGTCTTCTATCATCACTTGCACCACCGACTTTGGCAATTTCTTCAATGATTTGTAAAAGATCAGGACAATTTTCTTCAACACGTGGTCGACCAGCACCACGACGATAGAGTTTATTCAATTGTGGATGTAATTCAGGTTTTGTTTCAAATAAATGTTCAACCTAAAATAGAAAAATAATTAAACATAAAATAAAAGGAAAAGAAGCAGAAATTTTTCATACAATTTTTTTTCGTTTCACGCGATATTTATTTGAAGCTCGTTGTTTTGATTGAAGACGTCTTAATTCATAAGTTTTCTTTTTTCGATCTTTCATTAATTGTTTTAGCTGTTTTCGATTTTCCGCTGTCGATAAACCCATTTGTTTAACTTGTACTAACGAAGCTATACGATCGTTAATGGCACTTAATTCACTAAAAATACGTTCTTGTGCTGGTTGTCGTTTTTGCTTTGCCAATGGTTCCAATGGAATGCCTGGTACAGGTGGTAAATTATTTGGATCTTCAATGAGTTCTTCGTCAGGAATTAGTCTACGTTTTTTTGTACCATAAAAAGGCTTCTTTTTCGACGCTTCTTTTTTCTTTCTGTCTTCCTCATCTTCTTCCTCCTCCATGTCATCATCATCGTCGAGATCTTCATCATCTTCGAGATCATCTAACAGATTCGATTGTTCATCTTGTTTGCTGTTCTCATCATCGTCACCTTGAGTTTTCGCGTCATCAGATGGATCAAGTTTAGCTCTTTTTACTACTCGACGACGAGAAGGTTTGGATCGAGGTGATACAGAACGGTCAAGATTTGGAGGTGCTCCAATTCTATTAAAAGTTTCTAAATATTCTTCAATTTTTTCTTTAACATATTCTTCATTCCATTTGATTTCATTCCATTCCATTTGGGCATTTTGATGTTTCTCCTATTTCGTACACACACAAAAAGACTATTTTAGGTTTTTCCGTTAATTAAGAAAGTAAACTTACAACTCGTTTTTCATTAGGCCGAGCTTTCATATAAGCGTCGATAAATGTCTTATACAGGCTTGGGCCTTGAATTTTTTTATTTGCTTTCGAAGGCATGACGAATAGTATCAATCAACTACGCACAGTGTGCAAATAACGACGCTCACAAACGAAATGCATAGCAGAAAGAGAAAGAGAAAGAGAAAGAAAAAGAAAACGAAAAGAAAAAAAATAATTTTAAAAATAGTAAAATAGACATACAAATGACCTCTTCTTCATTCTTGGTTACAAACGGTCACCCACTAGAGTAACCAATAGTCGTTCTCTTATTGAGACTTTAGCTGATGACGACATCATTTCAGTTGAACAGAAAAGAATGAAATAAAAGAACACAACGATATTCATAGGAATGGACCAGATGGTAACAATATTTAACTCGTCATCAGTTTTACGCTGGATATGGGGGTATGAATGATGATCATACCGTAACCGTATATCAACACTCTCATTTTTACTTAGGGCCCAAACAGACCAAAAAAATAAAACAGAATTAAGCAACGTGATTGGTTAATTCACACTTAAGTCATCTTTTTGAGACGATTTAGTGGTTAATTCTGTTTTATCTTTTTGGTCTGTTTGGGGNTTTGAGACGATTTAGTGGTTAATTCAGTTTTATCTTTTTGGTCTGTTTGGGACCATAGGCCTTGTCTACACTAGAAAGATAATGCGGCATTAATTCGAATTAAATCTACGTGCGTCTACACTTATAAGTTTAATGCATCGATCAGAATTGAGAAGTAACTCATCAAAAAGAGACAGAAGCGACTTTTTCTTTACTGAACATGTGCTAAGTTTATACATTCAGACTACATTATAGCGGATTAACGACAAATGACGAAATTCGTTACCAAAATATCTACTTTTCTAACTTATTTCTTTCAACTATAGTTTCGTTCAATATTCTAGGGTTCTTGAATTTTTATACTTCACCTCCTGTTCTTTATAAAATACCTATTTATCGATAATGTACAGCGACCTTATTGAGGCCTGTCCGAGATTCCAACTAGTCCATCAAATTCTTTATCGATTGGTACATTAACTTCAATTCACTTTTCAAAAGTGTATTAAATCTGAATTAACTTTTCTAGTGTAGACAAGGCCTTAGGGGTCAAACACACTACGCGAATTAAACCTGAATTAACCACTAATTCACTTCAAAAAGATGACTTAAATCTGAATTAACCAATCGCATTTCTTAATTCAGTTTTATTTTTTTCTAGTGTGTTTGACCCCTTAGGTTCATACTATACTATTCAGACACTGGTAAAATATGGACTCTCACAGATTGGTTTATTGAATTATTTGTAAGGGCCAATCGTATGCTGAGGCTGCTTCGGCCTTCGACTTTTACTTCGGCCAATTATTATTACCCATGGTATTCTATTGCTTTCAGCATTTATTGGTTTAAATCAGTGGCAATACACGGTGCTCATTCTCGTTTTCCATTGATCTTTTCCAATCAATCAGATGGAATAACGTCGATAAAAACTAGGGCAAAACAAAAAACAGAAATTGTAATACTTGAAAGCAAGGTCGTATACGTAGGACATGAAGAAAAGGAAACATTTACGTAAATACGAACAACCAATATCAAACTAGAGAACGAAAAAAGAAATAGGGTGTGTTAAAATGAAAAGAACGAGCAACGAGCACAGCAAAAAATTACACTTATATAGGACTGGATAGCTAGAATCTTACGATTATTTGCTATCATCGAATCAAACATTCTAGTTAGAGCATCAAGACTATGACTTCATCAGCGTTACTCTCATTATGCGGTAAGTAAACTTGACATTATTTCTAACAATTTAGTTATATATATGACGCACAGTATTACTATCTCTGAAGTACATTCTGTTATGTTGTAAATGAAGACAATCGAATACAAAAGATATTTACATAAATAGATAAGATATTTTCTTTTGTTATTAGCTCGACGTTCAATACGCCTACATTATCTTCGTATGGTCGCTTTTGAACAATCCAAACGGACTCTTCATGATCAGTCAGAAACTCAAAGTGCTGATTCAAATCCAGCATATGATTTTGTACGTCGTCATGTTGGTCCAAACGCACGACAAACAAAAGAAATGCTTCAAATACTTGGTGTAAAATCAGTTGATGAACTTATTGATAAAACAGTTCCATCTGCTATCAAATTTCGTGGTACAATGAAAATTCCAGAAGCACTATGTAAATAAACATACCAAACTATGTTTCGAATTTTATCTGATATTTTCTTTTTTTTTTCTTTCAAAAGCTGAACATGGTGCTTTAAAAGAAATTGAAGATATTGCTATGCAAAATGAAGTATGGCGATCCTATATTGGTCTTGGCTATAATAATTGTATAATACCAACAGTTATACAAAGAAATCTCTTTGAAAATCCAGGATGGTATACACAATATACACCGTATCAAGCTGAATTATCACAAGGACGTTTGGAAAGCCTGTTGAATTATCAAACAGGTAGAAAAGGCAGATGATTCAATAATTTCTTAAATAATTCCCACTTGTAGCTATTAGTGATATTACTGGACTTCCAGTTGCCAATGCTAGTTTATTGGATGAAGGCACAGCAGCTGGCGAAGCAATAGCGATGTGTTTTAGACATAATAAACGACCACGAATGTTTATTAGTGATCAACTTCATCCACATGTTATTGACGTTGTTCGAACACGCGCAACGTAAAATGAAACTTTTAAAATTGATCGAGAGAAAAAAAGACATTTATTTTTAACTAGTGGATTTCGTGCTGAAATTGAAGTATTACCGATTGATAAAATGGACTTTTCGAAAAAGGATGTTGCTGGAGTTATTTTTCAATATCCTGATACAACCGGCAATATCATGGATCCATCGGGTTTAATAGCTCGTGCTAAAGAACACGGAGTATGGATATATTTCATTTCATTTGAAACACAGTTCAATCTATTTTTAAAACTATACTAGACTATTGTTATTTGTGGTTCGGATCTGATGGCTCTTTGTCTGTTGAAACCTCCGGGTGAAATGAATGTTGATATTTGCTATGGAAATTCTCAACGATTCGGTGTTCCACTTGGTTTTGGTGGTCCGCATGCTGCTTTTTTTGCTTGCGCAGAACAATTTAAACGTGATATGCCTGGTCGATTAATTGGTGAAACAATGTAAAATGAATAATTTATCAAAACAGAAAAAAATTTCATAGTTTCTAATTCTATAATAGTGATTCTCATGGAGCAAAAGCTTATCGTCTAGCTCTTCAAACACGTGAACAACACATTCGACAAGAAAAAGCAACAAGCAATATTTGCACTGGTATGTAACAAAAATAGTTTTTCGAGTAACAAAAATAGTTTTTCGAGTAACAAAAATAGTTTTTCGAGTAACAAAAATCAATCCCTCTTTGATTAGAATCGAGAATCCACAGTAAATAATGCAGTACGCATCAAGAATATGATGTTTCATATAGTTTAAGAATCTAAAAAATCATAGAATGCCATTGTGATACGAACAATATTTCGATTATATAATCGTGTGCCCTTGAAATTTTTCGTACGCCGATAAGAGTACTTTTATATTTTTCATTATTGTAAATGTATATCTGTTGTTGCTCCCATGAATGAGTAGAGATAGGACGGTTTGCTATCAGTTAATCCTTTTTCGTTTCTATTCGACTTTTTATTGGCTACTACTCATCTACTATATGCAACGCTAGCTGCAAACGAATCAGCCTGTAGAGTCATATACTGCTTACATAATGCTAGTGATTTCATAACACTACGAGACGTTCTAATGACTTTAAAGATTACATTTACATGAACATTTTCCTTATGTGCACAAAATATAAAGTCATAATCTTTAACCTTGTTTCATATGAATCAGTATTATTCGAAGGTAATAAATGGTGCAAACCATTACTTGAAACTAAAATTATAAGATTGATTTCTTATATTCAATCTGTACTACTGAGCAAATAAATGAGTGTCACTGATTCAATAGAAAAACAGATTGCAAGCCTTGTTAAACGAAATATTATCTGCAGCAATGCAGATAACTCTATTATGAAATGTTTACAGCGTGTAATGTGTCAATATAAAAATAAAATAAGTCTAAAACAGATCAATGATTACAAATTGTCTTGAAATGGCTACCTCAAGATTTAGATTAAAGGAAAAAATATTAAAACTCATTTGAAAACAAATCTTCTCCAATTTCGCTTTTTTAGCACAAGCATTACTTGCAAATATGGTCGCTATGTATTGTTTATATCATGGTAGACAAGGCCTTCGAAATATTGCAACTAAGATTCATGTATTGACATGTGATCTTGCTGAAAGTATAGTTTGAAAATTTATAATCATCAAATAGAAATACTTAATTCAACAAATTTCAGGTTTGAAAGCTGGGGGCAATTGTTTAAAGAACGAACTATTTTTCGATACATTGAAAATTCACCCGAAAATGAGTATTGCAGAAATAACACAACGTGCAACAGAAAAACGCATTAACTTGCGCTACTATAATAATGGAAACGTAAGTTTTGTTTGAGTAAAAATACTTACTGACTTTTGCTTATGATAGGTTGGTATTTCATTAGATGAAACAATGAATGAAAGCGATGTTGCTGATCTGAAATGGATTTTCAAGGTTGAGAATAAATCATCGGTTCGTGAAATTTTGACTTGCTCTCGTATCATGAAGAAAAACACATATCATCCTTTAGAATGAAGCTAAAACAAATCCTCGTGATTTCGGTAAACTGACTCGTCAAAGTCGCTTTCTTAATGCCGACATATTTAATAAGTAAAAATAAGAACCATCGTCATATATATTATTTTATTATTACTATTATCGTAGTCATCAATCAGAGACAAAACTCATGCGTTATATGAAGTATTTAGAAAATAAAGATCTGTCGCTTGTACATTCCATGATACCGCTTGGTTCATGTACTATGAAGCTCAACGCGGCTGCTGAATTAACAGTATGAAAACAAAACAAAAAAGTTCTCACAGCATATCTATATTTCATTTTTAGCCTTGTTCGTGGGCTCATTTTAACAAAATTCATCCATTTGCTCCAGCCACCCAGTGGAAAGGTTATGCTAAATTAATCAACGATCTTGATCACTTCTTATGTGAAATAACTGGTTATGACAAAATATCATTTCAGCCAAATAGGTAAAAGCTATGAAAAAGAATTAATTCATGGAAGTGTTAAGTATCTTATTGTACATTGAGTACTTCCCAGATACCCATCATGCGTGTATAACATTTCTAGGGAAATATTTTTAACACGCTAGTAGATCAAAGATTTAGCAGTATTTAGTGATTTACATTCATCAGGAAAAGAAGCAAGTTTATATTCGTTGTTCTTCTTTTTACTATTGTAGTGGTGCTCAAGGTGAATACGCTGGTTTACGAGTTATACGTGCCTATCATGAACATCGAGGTGAACCACAAAGACGAGTAAGAATATGTTGATGCATTGTTCTTTACATGATTTGTTGTCTGAAAAAGGTCTGTCTTATTCCAATATCTGCTCACGGAACAAATTTTGCATCAGCTAGTAAGGACCAGCGCTTGTTTTTAACTAGAGAGCTTGATTTTCTAATTGTATATTCTTATTTTAAAGCAATGGCTGGAATGAAAATCGAAAAAATTCAACTAGATAAATCCGGCGCTGTTGATATGAAACATTTAAAGCAATTAGCAGAAAAACATAAAGATACACTTGCTTGTGGTATTCTTACATATCCAAGTACAAGTGGAGTTTTCGAAGAAACAGTCAAGTAAAAATGACGAAATGAAACGTTAATATTCGAGGTTTTAGTTTAATTTAATAGAGAATTATGTGAGGTTATTCATCATAATGGTGGACAAATCTATCTTGATGGAGCAAATATGAATGCACAAGTTGGTTTATGTCGTCCTGGCGATTATGGTTCTGATGTATCACATTTAAATTTACATAAAACATTCTGTATTCCACACGGCGGTGGTGGTCCAGGCATGGGTACGTTCTTTAAATTGAATTTTATGTGAATAGATTAATTTGAATTCTTTGTTTTCTTGTAGGTCCTATCGGAGTGTAAGTTTGTTTAAGCATATTGAATATATTCTTTCGTTAGTACTAACACGAGAGCATCGTAACAGGAAATATGGCACACGTGCAAAGTTCTGTCCTTCAACATCAATATTGTAATTCCGTTTTGTATGGAAAAAAAAAGAAACTTTCTTCTCCTATCTAAGAGCCAGAACAGAAAGAACTAGAAGATCTAAATTTCTCATCGGCTATATTGATTTGTTCATAGATAAGAAATATATTTTTAGTAAGAAACATCTCGCACAATTTATTCCAAATCATACATTATTGGACGTCGATTCAGAATTCAATCCGAAAAATTCGTATGGTCCTGTATCATCAGCACCATTCGGTTCAGCATCTATTTTGCCCATATCTTGGATGTATATTCGAATGATGGGCGCTGCTGGTCTTCGTCGAGCAACAGAAAATGCTATACTGAATGCTAATTACATAGCTAAACGTCTTGAATCTTCATATAAAGTTTTGTTTCGCGGAAGAAATGGTTTGTCTCCAACTTTTAGAACTCTCGAAAATGTCTGTTTCTTCGGACAGGTTTTGCTGCTCATGAATTCATAATTGATGTTGGCCGATTTAAAGAACTTGCTAATGTTGAAGCAGTTGATATTGCTAAACGTTTACAAGATTATGGATTTCATGCACCCACTGTATCATGGCCTGTTTCAGGTTCATTGATGATTGAACCAACTGAATCTGAGGACAAAGACGAATTAGATCGTTTTTGTGATGCATTAATTGGTAAACGAGATGATAATTATTTCTAAAACTTTAGTATATTGTTCTTTTTTGCAATTTAGAAATTCGAAAAGAAATTTCACAAATTGAGAACGGTGTATATGATAAAAAAAATAATCCATTGAAAAATGCGCCACATTCTCAACATATTCTTCTCCATGAAAAATGGCCTTTACCGTATTCATTGCAAAAAGCTGTTTTTCCAATCGTAAGTTGATGATGGAGTATTTGTCATGATATATTTCTGACTTTTTCTTTCATTGTAGAGTTTTGTTTCACCAAATACGAAATTTTGGCCTTCCTGTGGACGAGTAAATGATATTTATGGTGATAAGAATTTGAAGTGTCGTCTTGATTAAACCTACTATTTATGGGTCCATCATAGTAACTTGAACATTCCTGTTGTGATAAAATGTTCTTATTTGACTGTTTCCATTAGATTCCTTTGGGTTCTTTTTCTATTCAAATAAATTACGTTAGTATTTATTTCATAGGATATATGAATAGCAGCAAAGTCATAATAAACTTCAATTGAACGCGAAAAGAAGGAATCGATGGAAAGCTATATTTCAAACTAGTTCAGAGGAACTTTTGTTGAATTAATGAGTTAAGCAAAAAACTTGAGAGTTCAATATGGTTTTATCATATAATTTACTTTGAAGATAATCTTTGGTTACTCACAGTACTCGAATGTATAGGCGACTTATGATGCATTTGAATGCATATTTTGCAAATCAAATCGAAAGACTGAAATCTCTTATATGCAATATGTTTGAGTCAAAATAAAAGAAATAAACACATGAATCAAACTTCGATAACAATGGTTCTGATGTATACAATCTCAAGCTGCATTAGTTTAGTGCATAAAATATTCTAAACTAGTAAAACAACGACCGTTGTGATTATTGTTGAAAATGCTGCCTATCGCGAGAAAATATGGCATACGTTAATAAGAACTGTTGTTGCTACCATCGGGCTTGATTGTCTTGTTCCGGAGATAGAAAAAGAATCTCATAATGGCTTTCCTATTTTTTTATAATTGTTGTTTTACGGTTCGCCTCAGTCCTATTCATTTTGCTTTGATTATAAAGACCAAAATGAAACCGTTTAAAAGAACTTTAGAGGAAGTTTACTTTGCACTGTCTTCATGACTGTATACGAGACAAACGCTACACTCATCAATCTCTGTTTCGAAAGTTCCAGGAAACAAATGTTCAGATCACAGCTGAACCTGATGTTATCAATCTCTACGTATCCGTTAAACTCGAGTTGATTTTAGTCGTCGACACGTATATTGAAGGTGAGAAAGGAATGATGCCAATTCAATCTCAGTTGAGTTTCAAATCAGTTTTCGTCAATTCAAACCAAATAAACAATGATAAAAGGAAATAAATCATATCGTGCAGTCTTTTTATTTATGTGCAACATAAAAGACAATAATAATGTTTTATTATAACACAACAGGTAATCCGCCACTTTTTTCGATAGTAAATATCAAGAAATGAGTAATAATCATAACAGTGGCGGATCCAGGAATTTTTAGAGGGGGCGGCACTTTCTAAATTATATAATACGACGCAGAGAAATCTTTTTTGCGGAAATATATAAATCAAAATACTAGTTTTCTTTCCATTGCTTATTTAATTTTTGCGCAATATATCTATAATTTCATGGAAAGAACAACTTTTTTCGAAGTAAAGTTGCGCAATAAAATCTAAAAACTAATCGACGACTGAACTTAGCGAATTCATCGGTGCAAATTAGTTATAGTTAACTAGACTTTTCTAATTATTTATTTTCATGATTTTTTGTGGAACTTTATTATTAAATAAAAACAGTGTTCGAACGTTTGACACCAACATCTTGTGGTTTATTTTCTTATTGCGAGATATGATTTGGTGAATTTAAGAATCGCAGAAACATGTCGGGTAGCACGTTAAAAAAGACATAAATGAAGCTGAAAATGAACAAACGCTATTTAATATTTTTTGGTCTACTACTTCCGTAATATTCAAGATGGTGACAATTAATTATAGTTTTCCGATTTCCTTCGGTTATTTATTTTATTTTCGACCTTCTAACATTATTTAAGCCTTTAAACATATTTCATTGCCCCGTCTATTCTCAGGGGAGGGGGGGGGGGGGGCGGCGAGCGTCGGGTAACTGAACTGGTAGATCCGCCAGTGAATCATAGATGAATATATCTAAGAGCATAGTCACATCAGATTTCGTTAGATTTAACAGAATCCAAGGGTCGAATGCTGCTGGATAACTTAGCTACATGGTGATGATTCAACCGATTAACTGCTTACGCTCTGAGATTTTCAAAGAAGTAGTTCTTTAAAATGCTTTTCTTTGATCAATTGAATGCAGCCTTAGAGTTGTCATTAAAACGAACTAAACTAATAGTGGTAATATTGGTATCTTGTGCTTCAGCAGATGTCTCACTATGAATATGACTGGAATTCTCTCGCAAGACAAGGGCGCTACTATGCATAATCATAACATCACAATGTGAAATACAGCGCTATAGTATTGCCGATCTACTTTAATTGTTCGTTCGTTACAAGAAAGTTCTCTTTTAATATTTCTGCAATTCTCGTGCTACCAAGTTTCTGCATCCTGGCATGAATCCACGATGCTTTTCGTTGTATCTGATAGAGGACGCTACATATCTACTCGGTTTGATAGAAGGAAGAACGATTCGTTCAATCGTTCGGGCCATTCCAATGTCTTGTTAAAAGTATGTAGGTTATGTCGATTGGACACGCTAGCGACACATATGTACGGTCATCGTGTCTCTATCATTTTTTCTAATCGCTGTATTGGCCCATTTTCTGTCGCTAGTAACCGACCAATCAGCATATATTAGCGATGGCTAATCACTTAAATTTTATTGTTTTTAACGTTAATTTTCATTTATTAAAATAATTTGAAAGAAGACAAAGAAAAATATATCAGAAAGAATAAGAACCATTGAGAGAAAAGAAAATGACAAAAACAAAATTGAAAAAAAAACAAAAAAATGAAAACAAAAAATATTATGGAAAGCAAAAATTGAATTGTTTTTATTCTTTGAAAATCAAATGCACATCTCATACTCAAATCAATCAACAAGATAAAATTATATTTTATTTATTAGTGAAATTAAAAAAATCGCTACGAATTATTTTAGCAAAAACCACTTAGGTCTAAAAATGAAAACTAAAATTTCTGGAGAAAAAAAAACATATTTATATTCCCGAGCAGTGTTTCCAATGGAAATCTAAAACGAAATGTACAGTACACTGTTTTTTATGAGCAAACTGTATATATACACTACTTTTTTCAGGAAAGTGTACAAAAGCCCAATTTTCACAATTTAGAAAACAAAATATAATTTTCGCCATTTTTTATCTCACGAAACAAACATTTTGATCACTAGCGAAAAAAAAATATCATACTTAATTAATTTAAAACTATATGCGGCTTTTAAGGTTCCGAGATCAAAAAAATCAGAGTGTAAACTATTTTGGCAAAGTGTACAATGTACACTTTGTTTTTCTGGGCAAGTGCATAGTAGACTGTAAATCAAAACTAGCAGATGTTCTACACATTTTGCTTCTGCTGTGTACACTTGCCATTGGAAACACTGCTTCCTTCACATTTATCCATATTTTATTCATATTCATCCAAGACACGCTACCGATACGAATGTCGACACTTGACGTAGAAAAAAATAATGCATCAACACATGTGTCGCTAGCGTATCCGATCGATTTGGGTGTAGACGTTGTCGCTCTTCTCTAATCAAAAGGAAAGAATAGAAAAAAAGTAAAGCAAAGAGAATGAGCCCATGTGGCTTTTTCCTATTAGAAGTGTAGCGAAGCGAAATATTCCGTCATTATTATTATACATTAATCAAACTGAAAATACTCAAAAGTAATCGGAATATTTTCATAATTTAGCTCATATCGTATCTGTTGAAGAATTATTATCATTTTATTTTTCTAGATGAGTATGACAACTAATAATGTACTACGTGAACTTAAACTTCATAGCCCAGCTGGAGTTGAACCAGCAGTATTCACATGGCCAAATATTGATCGACAAGTAAATAATTCATTAGGTTTTTTAACTTTACAATTGATTGTATTATTTTAGAGCACAAAAAAAGATGGTGTTTTTGTCGGTGGTGATGAGATTGTCAAAACAATACGTTTAGTTTTTGAAGGTAAAATTATTATTAAATTAATCGTTGCAAAAAATTGTTATTTCTTTCTCGTCATAAAAGATTATCCTGAATTATATCAACAAAATCTTGGTCTTTCCACTTGTGATATACATTCGTATACAAATATGAAAGAATTATGCGATAAATTTAATAAAATCATGGATACACATATTAAATTAAATCGTGGCACGGAGTCATTTTCAGCCCGTCTTGAAAGACGCGCTTCATCAAAATTATTTCGACATATTCTTGCTCAAGTTTATAGTCGTGCAGTAACAGATCCCGATAAATTACGTGCCTATGAACCATTTTCACCTTCGGTAAATTCGAAATTTATTCTTTTTTAGATTTAAATTTCAAAAATATTTTTTCTTCTAAAGGTTTATGGCGAAACATCACCGGATTTAATTGATTCAATTCTTAAATCAATTAATTTAACAGAAGATCAAACATTTATTGATCTTGGCTCGGGTGTTGGAAATGTTGTTCTACATGTAGCAGCATTAGCAAATTGTAAACATGTCTATGGTATTGAGTATGAAGAAGTTCCAGCTACATATGCACTTGCTATGGCTGATGAATTTCGTTCTTGGATGCGTTGGTATGGAAAGCAATATTCAGAATTTCAATTAGAACAAGGAGATTTTTTAATACACCCAAAGATGGATGAAAGAATACGAGAAGCAGATGTTATTTTTGTTAACAATTATGTGTTTGGCGCAAGAGTTAATCATGAACTTAAAGTTAAATTTATGAATATGAAAGGTAATTTATTATTTGCTTTCAGACCTCGGGCACATGTTCTTGAACAAAAACTTCGAGCTATAAAATTGATTTTTATCATGTTCTTTTATTTTCGATTAGACGGAGCAAAGATTGTTTCATCACGAGAATTTTGTCCTGAAACATTTCGACTGAATGATCGAACGAAAAATGATTTAGGGGCTGTTATGTATGTTAGGTAAGAAATTTCAATTTTCATGTGTTTTTATTCATTTATTTATTTATTAGTAAACCAGAGGAATTCTTCGGAAAAGTTAGTTGGTCAGATAAATCAGTTCAATATTATCTTCATGTTATTGATCATAGTAAACTTGCACTTTACTATGAAAAAATACAGCAAGTACATTCGAAAGGAACAAGGACAAAGTAAGTTTTTTGAATGCATGCATATGATTACACATCTTATTGAACACACGGGTCATTGAGATAGAATAGAAAAAGAATCTCTTGCCTTTTTATCATATATTTGCCAGCAGTAATATACCCCGGGTCATCCACGAAGGGCGGTCTCTTTTATTCGATATCGTTCAATGGATTTTTCTGATATGCTAAAATGTCCGACGAATCATTAGGATTTTTCCGCGCATGTACGAAAAGTATTTATTGCTAATGATCTTCAATAGTCAAAATTTTTTGCTACCTGAGATTATATCATAATCACTCGTGTGCGTTCGAGAAACTATGAATACTTGTCTAATAATGATGTCAAACATATGCTTACATTCAGACGTAACTTGAAAAAGACACAATATCTTGATCTATTTAATAATCATCTGTAGCGTAACATATATAAATAAAACTTTCTTGAGATTTCTTCTACCCACGTGAAATTAATTAAAAACTTGTATTCTTCTATGCATTTCAGTCATTCTAAGTCAAACGATGACGACAATACTCTATCTCCATCATCGAATAATTCATCATCGAATGGTAAAAATCATCGTCAAATGAAATCGATTTCAAATCAACCGAGTCAAAAAGTTGATGAAAACAATTCTTTTCAGCACGATTTAAAAAATATTAATCGTAAACGTAAACTTAATACAACAACGCCGAATGTAAATGGTAAAAAGATTTATATCAAAGTTCTACCTGATAAAAATCAATCGGATTATGAATCCGACTTATCAAACGATGAATCAACCAATTCTAAACGTGTAGGTACATCATCGAAAGATTATCATTCAACATTAAATGAATTACATCCAACAAGTGAAACCTATGATCAATTAAATAAAAATGAGCGTTTTAATTATCGTGAAATGACAAAATTACCCAATGAAAATCTTAATATTTGCCAGTTTCGTGATTGCCTATTAGAACAAGAAGATAATCGATTTTTAAATTCAATTAATTCCTATTTAGATTCATTTCGGCAACGTCTTTTTTCATATTTTGCCTATATGAAATCAAACGTCTATCGTGAACATTTAAAAAGTCAATTAGATAATGAAATGGAATTAAATAAAATGCTTAAAACAAAAGTTAATTCATTAGAAAATAGTATTAAAGTTCTACTAGAAGATACGATTAGTTTACTTAAATTACGTACGAATGAATTGGGCATTGAAGAATTAGAACGGCCAGTACAATTGATAACATACGCTAATGATATATCGAGTAAACATAAAGAATTACGTTCAAAAGTTGCAACACTAGAAAAAGAAATAGCTGAATATAATTATGAGAATGAAAAATTGAATCTTATTTTGCAATCGACCAATGGAAGTCACTTATCAACAGTAACACATGCAGTAAATGATAATACTTACTCAACTTTATTGGCAACGATGAGCAGACAAACTCAACAACAAGAAAATATTAAACAATCATATTCGCCGATTAGTCCGATACCATCGACTGATAGAGATACTGCATTCGTATCAACAGAATTTCCATCATATTCACATCAAAGTAATATACCGACGTCCTCTGTATAAATATATGTATTTATGAATAAACTCGACAGTTTACTGGTTAATTTCATTTTGTCACTTCGAGAGATTCTAGTTCAGAATTAGTGAAAGGCAAAATATAGTCTTTCGCGAGCAGAACTTGGCCGGAGAATGTTCTAGCATAATAGAACTATGATCATGTAAGATTGTTTCGATGTATTCATCGCACTAGATGAATTTTAGTTGATTTAGTAAATAGTATTGTTTCCCATTCTTAGACAAAAATTATGTTGCATATCTCTAAGGTTGCTTGATACGGGTTTCTGTAAACGTTGAGTCTCTGCGATCGTGTTTGTAACCACCGATGAAAGATTTTAACAGTTCTTTGATTTGTTATTTATAATAAAATTCAGTTATAAGATAAACGAATATGTTCATGTTTTGCATAGAAATTATGCAAATGATATTATCTTAATCTTTCGACTTATACTATTGATTCTTTCGTTTGGATAATAGCGAGGTTTTTGAGTATGAAGATTAGCTGTCAGGAAGATTTTCTAACAGAGTGGTTTCATCTTGCACGTGACGCTCGCTAAGGACTAGATCAATCATACGATTATCTCCCATGTCGGAAAGCAATGAACATGCCAACAGAGATAAGCTAAGAATACTAACTCTTTTCAATGATTTGGATTAGCAGAGTCTTGCATGCTGTGCAATTTATCCATTGAAAGATTTCCCTGGTAAGACTTCAGCGTGAAATTGTTTTGTTTCAAATGCATGCAGCTCTAAACAGTTTCATTTTATTTTTCATATGATGATTAATATCGTGTTCTTTTTCAGTTCCTACCTCATCATTTGATGTTGTTAAAACTGAACGCAAATCTGGCTTTACTATACCGAAGAAAGTAAGGAAGACTTCCAATTTAAACTCCGATGGCAGTTCAATTATTTCTCCAATGAAAACAATTAAAACTTCTGATAAACATAACGTATTACAAGATGTATCACGTCGAACCCTCCCTTCGCTCTCATTAAATGTCTCTGCAAGTATCAATAATCTTCTATCAAGTAAACAACTTGAACCTGTTCAAGTTCATTCAGTTGTATCATCTGGTGGACAGCAAGCTAAACAGCAGCAACCATCTGTTATTCAATCGGTTAGTGTTAAGCCATTGTTAAACAGTTCTCCGTCATCTTCAAATACAAAATCATCGAATGAAATGAAGTTAGTAGCACGATTCTATCGATCAATCTTTTATTAATTATCACTTTTTCTAGTCGGACGATGGCGATACAATCACCACGTAAAAAACGTGATTTCTATGGAAAATCATCCGGTCCATCAACAACGCCACCTTCATCGTCAAATTCATCACCAACCAATAAATCCCATCGGCACTCAAGCACAACTGAATCCTCTTCTCCAAGTAAAAATCGTCCTTCATCAACACCAGCATGTACCGCAACTGTTCGTGCATCTACAATACCCGATCGGCCCGTTTCTAATCCTCCATTGAAGACTTCATCTTAGCTTTTAAAAACTATGTTGTAGCGACACAAATCCTAAGAACAAGTTTCTCTTTGTTGTTGTCTTACTGTATCTCAGGTGTAAAAAAGATTCTATAGTTTAATGTATTATGTATGTATATATATATATGTATGTATATACTTAGCTGTATCAGCTTCATTGTTGTGTTTAGTTTCATTTATCTATTCATGATCATTTATTTGTTCTTCTCAGCCTCAAGAATGCGCCAATAAGTGATTGAAGAAACTGTTGTTCTATTATCTATATTCTGACGATGTTCGTTTTCTTTGCGCTTATTCTGACTTAGTCTCATACAGTATACATATATTCATCATTGTTGTGTGACTATTATATTGTCAATGCATTCTTTTTGTTCGGCAATATATGAACGACATACAGAAGAAGAATTTATTATGACTAACAGACTAAACATATATTTACTCGAGACATTTAATCAGGGTGGTCAGATCTTCTAAAAAATAGGAGAAAGTTCTAAATTTGGAATATATTCAGATCGCTGATTTATCACTGAAATTAGGTAAGATTATAATCCATTACTATAATAAATCAATAGTGTTTCGTCAATATTCTTTGCGAATCATCTTTTATATGCTGCGTTCAAATTCTGGCGTCGAACTGATTTTCGATCATAGAAAGCATTTATAGTTTTAAACTTGAAAACAAGCTCAACGTTAAGTATCTTTTATTGATGTTGTCGTATTAGCTAAACGATACATTCACTGTAGTGTCTTTCGTTTTATTGAAATATCTTTGAAAATAAAGTTATAGACAATGAACAGAAACGTAGTAGAATGTTGGATGCCATTATTTTAGCGGAAGATGTACTAATTTGCCAAAAACTGGCGTTTTCTGATTAATTTCTGATTTTTCAATTTTTGATCTGATCGCACTGCATTCAAGATACGTGGATATGAGAAGAAAGAGTTACATTTATGCTTTACGTTAATGGAACATCTCGGTTTTACGCCATCGATAACAACAATCAATGATATGAAAGAGATCGGATTTAGGAACGATGAGATATTTTCGAAGAAAATAGATCCTGAAAATTTCACCATGTACACAATCGCGCTTTAAACTAGATGGTATTCAAGTTTCACTCGAAAACGAATGCAATGCGAACCTCGAATTAGATCTTCACGAAAAATCTTCAATTCAGAGAAATCTTGAATTCTTTTTATGTCGACATGATGAAATTCATCACTGACGTGAGAAAACTCTATTCTTACTCAGCGATACATTCTTAAGGGTCGATTTCGATTCCCAGGTCGAACATACACGGTCGTATACGACGGTAAATCGCCGTATTTGGCCGTATTACATGGCTCCGTATTACGATCGTAAATCTCCGTGCCGTATACGGCGAAATACGGCGCTTTACGGTCGTTTTTGATCGTATTTCACCGTATTACGACACGGAGATTTACGATCGTAATACGGGGCATNTGTTAGGTTCGAGATTCCCGGTTGATGTTTATTTTTACCAAAAAAATGATGAGAACCTAGCTTCTTCAAAAAGAACAGGAACAAGAAAAGAAGAAAATGAAAAATCAACAAAAAAAACAAAAATCACCGATACGTTTACTGGTGCCACTCTCACTTCTTCAGTCCTAATATATATATATATCGATATTTTATATCGATCTTAGAAAAAGATGGAGGATCGTCCATCTATAATAGATGGCGATCCTAACAGATTCATTTTCTCCATGATTCATTATCTTAGATCAGCTGTAAATGAATAGACTATAGTGGCTAACATATGTTGATGACGTCACTTTGATTATCTCGCAACAAATTTCTTTCATTTTCGTCATTTTGTGAGTGAACAGAACTTCAGATTGAAGTTCAGAAAACAGATGTGCTAAGTTCGATCTCACGTTTTTTAACCACTTTTCTCAGTAGAAACTTTTGGTTTTAAATTCTTATACATAAATAGCGAAGTCATTTTAACTAAGAAATGAAAGTAGAGAAGCCAATACAGATTTTTCGTTTCTTCTTCTTTCGAACTATACGTGCACATCATATCAGGTCCTTTTCTGTCATGATGATCTCAAGACCAGAAAATCACAAATAACTCGTTCCAATGCATTGTAAACGTGCCGAGATCTAACTTTTGATATCTTTTATCGCATCTTTTATCGGACATTCAGTGCGCTCGGAGATATCGTTCCAAAAAATACAATTTTGAAATGACTTTTCGTTTCCAAGATTCAAGATGATTAAAATGATGTAATGAAAAACCATGAGCCACTAGTCTATTCATTCACAGCTAAAACTGCATAATAAATCATAGATATATTTGAATGTTCAATCGAAATCGTCCTATAAGAACACGCTCATGAGCCTTGATAGAGTTCCCGCAGTGATAAATTCGACAATAGCTGTGCTGAGTGTATTTTAACTTTCAATCATCTGCTCCATTGAAACCTTTTTTGTTTTTTATTACAACTGCTGAAGACAGGAAAAGGTGTATATTCCAAGCGAATATGAAACTAATCCGGTCAAAACGATGTCTAATTAATTTTAAGATTACTTGTTCTTTTTCAGTTTAAATTTTTTATTTTTTCGTGTACTCAGCTCGTGCTTCGCACCGCATTTCGTATACGAGTGACACTCGAATGCCATCTGGCATTTACTAGTTTCATTAATGACTAATCTCGATAGGTGGCACGAGTCAACACGTAGCTGCTTGCGGCCTCTTCCATTATTTTAACTACAAAATTCATATCCCATATGATTCGTTTATTATTTCGAACCAGTAAAATAGTATATGCTGTCGTTGTCAATATGGCGGCGGGCATTATTCCAAGGTGGGCACACACACATTTCTCTCTACTATTATCTTTTCTTTTTTAGATTTCAGATGACGTCTCCATCCCTTACGCTTACTCTGTTGGTTGTTCTACCGATATTTAGTTGGTGTATTTTACCAGCTGTAGGAACCACTTTATCTCTTGCTAATTTAAATGGATTGAAAAGTCAGTTTCAAACAGGGCTTAAATCAACTGCGGATCTACCATCATTACATTATTCATTAGCTGGCGCCAAAGAACTCGGTACACAATCTCCTGAAACATTCTGTAATGATATTAAAAAGTTAGTTGATAAATCAAATGCTGAATCAATTTATCATGCAACTGAAGCAGCTAAAACATTAAACACTTGCAAAGTACATTTATTTATTTGAAAATAAAAAGGAATCGTTTCTCATTGAACTTCATTTTCTAGTTATCTGCTGAAGATTTTCGTTCAACTGTAAGCTCAACCATTCAATCGGATAAGAGTACAACAGCTGAAATCTACTATGCCGTACATGCTAGCATCAATCTTGGTTTAAGTGTCGATGCATCAGCAGTTGAAAAACGTCTTAATGCTTTAGCGAAAACAGATGATAGTATCTTAAGTCAAGGTTATGCATTATTAACAGCTGCACAATTAAGTTCCGCTATAGCTAAAACCTATGCTGATACAATCAATGATTTAGTTCAACAAGCTGACGAAGTTGATGGACATCTTTTACAATACGAAGGTGGTATTAGTACAACAGCATTAGTATTCAATGCATTCTATGAAGTTGCTGAAAAAGCTGGTGCACCAGTTAAAATTGATCCTAAACAATTAGTTAAATTTGCAAACTATTTTTCAACAAAAAGACATGTTGCTACATTACGTAGTGCTTATTATTTAACAAAAGCATTCAAATATTTATCAAACAATAAAGTAAGAAGAATTTCTTTCAAAGTAAGAAACGAAAATAGAATTGAAAATTTCTTTTAGAATACAGTAGCCGTGGTTGTTTCACGTCTTAGTTCATCGGAAGTCAATGCCCAAAATCCATCGGTAGTTGTTTCAGTTACAAATCTCTTAGGACAATCTGTTGGCGAAATGACTGTTACAGCTGAATCAGCTAAACGTAAAGAAGACGGAGTTGTTGTTGTATCAAAACAAAAACTGACATCAAAATCTAGTGATTTGTATGTTTGATAAAGCGAGGAACAGAAAGTTTTGAATTATAATTCTATTCGTATATTTAGTACTGTCTATGAATTGTCATTTTTTGATAAGAAAATTCCTCGCGGATTTTATACAATTCATTTAACATTAACACCACGCACTAATGGAGACTTTGTTGGTTTAACAGACAATACCGTTCGTAGAAAAAATAAATCGTTTTTTGAATTGCTCATTTTGAACGTTATTATTTAGATTAATGTAAAAGTAACATCGGAAGCCGTACTGGAGAATGCTGAATTAAGTGTTGCCGATCGCGATAATGCTGCACAAGTGAAAACGTTCAAGTAATGAAGATTTTAAATTGTTATTTTATTTCATAACATTTTCGTTTTTGATAGATTAACCTATCCAACTGCTCTATCAGGCAATGTTGAAGTTGATTACCATCAAAAATTGATAGTTAAATTCCAAGTTAAAGCTAAACAAACTGACGAATTTCTTCGTGTACAACAAGCATTCTTACGTTTAGCTAATAAAAAATCCAACAAGGAAGTTATCTACTTAGCCGAAGCTGCTACTGGTGCCGACGCTCAATACAAAGTTGAAGTGGTATGGTAATGTTTTGAAAGATAAGGAGTTGAGTTCTTTGAATTCGAAAGCAGTTGTAGATTCAGACCATAGACTGTCTTATCTTAGGAGACCCGTCGTAGAGAAATAGCCGCATGGAATAAATTTTTATCAAATTACCTATTCTGTGTTGATCAACAATAAATTTTTCTACGATCAGATTTCAATTGCGGAAATTTTTGCGAAAAAATGCTTACGGCCTTCGCTTCGATACTAATCCCTAGATCTAATTAGTACATCTGTTTTTTTATTTTTTTATTGTGTGTAGGATTTAACAACAAATGCAAATGATTTTCTTCACCAATCAGGTGCCTACGAAGTTGCTTTACTTGTTGGTGATGCTTCACTGCAAACAGGATTTTCATGGAAATTAACTGACAATCTTCAATTGTCGTTTCATGAAGACAATGTACCAGATACTGATCATCTTAATTTATATTCTGCAAAGCCGGAAATAGTTCATCAATTTCGTGAAGACGAAAAACGACCACCAGCCACTGTTTCACTTGTCTTTAGTGCTTTAACTGCATTACCATTATTAATTCTTTTAATTTTAGTAAGAAATCCTTTTATTCTATTATAATTTACATCTTGTTTCATTTTTAGTGGTTCACCATTGGTGCTAACTTCTCTGGTTTGCCATTAGGACTTAGTCCATTAGGTTTTCATATTTCTCATGGAGGTAATTTTAATAGTTAAATTAGAAATATTTATGATCGAACGTTTGAAAATTTTCAGCTGTTTTCGCTTTGATGTATTTCTATTGGAAATATTTGGATATGTTTCAAACAATGCGCTATTTGGCTCTAGTTTCAATTCCATTATTTTTATTTGGCCATCGATTATTAGCCACATTAGCTGCTCGACGGTGAGTTGCATCAAGTAGTGTTTTTTGTTCAGTAAACTAAAATCACTTGTCTTCTAGAGAGAAAAAAGCTTAATTATTCGGCGATAATGGATACAAAAAATAAAAACGTTGAACAATTTGTTTTGTTTCTGTTTTTTTTGTTATTGTTTTTCATTTCTATACTATCATGTGCGCTTGTCTAGGTTATATTCATTACTTATATGTCATGTCTTTTGTTTCCAAGTTATTCTAAATTCCGAGGATATTCTCTTTATTGTAGCCTAGGTTACTTGATTGATACACGCTGCTGGTGATTACGGTGTGTGTTGAAGATTTTTGGCTTATTGACTTTTTATCAAATGTTATGTTTGTTTTCTTTTCTGGGATTTTGATAAACAAAAAGGTACAATATTTTTAATCATTTACTCAACAACAGGGTTATCAAGGGAGCGAAAGAGATGGAAAATAAGAAGAAAAGTAAACTACATATAGACTTAGTTGGACTATGTTGTTGATATCATTGGCGATCTTGAAATAAAATAGCACGCAGACGATAGATGTTTGAATGAAAAAAGTGGATCTTGAGAGAATCCAAAATGTGCCTCGTATACAAACCATTTTAAGTTGAATCGACTTATTTATTGATATGATGAACAGTGCTTTTTAAGGTTTTTGGCTTGATGTAATAACGTTGCTGTAAGTTTTGACGCTACATAATGATAGTCCCTTCACCTTTCATGCAGAACAATTGATCATATGACGATCAAAATTCCTTGAGTAGTATGTCTGGGCTGCTCGAAGCAACCATTAACCTCAGTAAATGACACTTTTTTTGCATGAAAGGTACTAATTGAGGTCATGTTAAATCCTTCAGGTTGTAATATGACACCTGTACGAATATTTGTTGTTGGGTGTGAAAGATTGTCTGATCATGTGTTTTCAATATTCAGTGTCAACATGTTGAAGATTTTCACAACAAATTTTTTCTTAAGCCTTGTTTTAATGATTCGAGAACAGTGCTAGTCATTCATGTGTAATACAACATTATAAGTTTCTTCTCTTCAGTTCAGATTAGTTTTAGAATAATAGAAAAAGATTGACCGTGAAGATTTCAATAACGCCTCAAACCAATAGATTTTTGTAGGGAGAGGTATCAGATTCGATGGATCTTGACAAGAACTGAAAACGAAACAAATCATTAATTATTCATTGATTAGCACATCTCCCTCAAGAACTGAACACCCGATTTTGATTATTAAAAGAAATCTCATATTTATAAGGAATAAAATTTTTTCTGATTAATATTTTCTACTAAGAAAAATATGAAAAGACTCAAATATTTATTCATTATAATATATTTTTACAGTCTATGTAGAAGAATATTGTCTTAAAGATAAGAACAAAGTGGTAATTTCATCATTGTAGTAAAAAGGAAAACTAATTGCTAATTAATGAAAACTCTCAATTGAAATAAATCAAAATGCAAGATATCTTTGGTGTCACACATTTCAATGTAAACAAATGAGGTCAAAGAATAAAAAATATACTCAAATGTGTCAAAATCTATCGCCGCTCAATCGATGAATATTAATCGATGATACATATCGTGCGCAAATCCAATCATTGTTAGAAATGCTTATATTCAATGGGGTTTCCTCTGCATTTTGAACACTCGTAAAACTGGATTCGCCTTTAACTTGACCGGACTCATCCAGCATTATCAAATGGCTGGTTATGTATTCAACAACAACAAAAAGACGAAATTTTTCACACCATTCCATTCTGGGTGTAAACAATTTTTCTTCGTCCCAACATTCGTTGAGTAATAGTTGCTTAACGATCGTCCAAGTGTTTCCACCGTTGAGAAGATTGAATATGCAAAGTCGGACTTGTTTACGATGTTTCAAACGATAAGCTAACATTATTTGACCATGATTATTTACAGCAAAATCACTTATTTCTCCAATAGTTGATGTCGTGGCATCATTTCTTCCGCCCGATATAATATCACGAAATGATTTGCATGCTTTTTCTTCTTTATCGTAGTTTAGTAGGATAATCTCATCGCCATAGGGATTCGTAGCGCCACCTACTGATAATACATAAATATATTTATCATCGCATGTAACACGCTTCATACTACGATCAGGAAATTGATAAAATTCTTCTAATACATTTCTATTATTACGGAGAAATCGTAAACGTGAACAATTCAGCAGCAAATAACCCTTGAGCGTAGCTGAATATGTTATATCTTGTATCCAATTGTTATCACCACCACCGATACTTGCATCGGGATCGGCCCACGGAATTGTTTGCCGTGATGTTGGCTGTTCTACATCGGGTACCAGTATTAAATGGCAAGTTCCATTTCTAGGATTATAATTATTATAAAGCAATTGACTGTCATGACAACATAGAGTGCCGGCAAATGTATCATTATGTGTAGGTATAATTATTGGATTTTCCAGTTCAATATTTGATGTTAAACCTTGATTAAAATTATCTTGTTGTGGAGATTCGGTCTTGTCTTCAGCCTGTGCTGCTGGAGGAGGGTTGATAGTTCTTGGCGGAGCAAGAATAATGTGTCCAACATTTGTAGACTGATCAGGACTATTTGTATTTACATTTGTCATCAAATTAAAGCCACTCTGTTCCGTATTAACCAATATATTATTACCCTCATCAGTAGCAGATGTAACAACCGCTGATTCTGCTGTGTTTGTTGTTGTTGTTGAATTTTGACCAAAGATGGTTGGATTTAGTTTCTTTTTAAGTTTGCTATCTAAAGCAATATCATCTTGAATAGGTGCAGGCAGTTTTTCTAGTTGATCAGTTTTTTCTTTTGTTTTTTGTTGTAATGAATACATTGAATGTAGTTGTTGATGAACAACTCGGCCCATATTTTGACTCAACGAATTGTATTGAGTACGAAGTGTTGCAACATCCTCATACGTATTTTCTCGACGTTCGATTTCACTCAGAGCATCGTCAGCTAAACTGTTTATATCCTTCAAACGTTTTTGTCTCTATACAGAATAAATAGATAATAGTAGAGCTTTGATTGAATTAGATATCTCCATTAAATCATCGTTAAACATATCCTCACTGGAATGTGATCTTTTTTGCAAATAGCATATTCAATGCTCTAGTTGAGTTTTGAAGTATGTTATTTTTATATTAACCGCTCAAGTGTTTCGTATCTTTCAGCGAAAGAGAGTTCAAGCAAAAATATCTAGAGAATGTATTTGACTTAATATTTAAAATTTTATCTTTTCGAATTTGTCAAAGGAAAAATTTTGAATTTTATTCACTAAAAACAAAAATCTTATCTCGATAATTTTTCATTAAAACTAAACACATTATTTCTAATCAACATAGTTTATCAATTAATTACAAGTTTATACTTACCCAGTTTTCGACCATAGTTCTCTTCTCAGCGCAATCATTGTTTTCTGCTGCCTGTTCAAGTTCGAGTAATTTCTGGCCAGTTTCAGATTGAATGAATTCAAATTCCAGACGAATTTCTTCGACATGTATATTAATACAGAAAAAATCGAATTTACCTCCGCAACTACAAGTTAAATCAAACGGTTGGGACGAACAAGCGACACAAAGCTCTTCAGATGAAGGTGATGACTCAGCCATATTTTATATAAGATCAACGTACGTATATATTATATTTTTAATGTTGCAAGCAATACAACAAAAACACAAAAAGAAAGCAATGAGAATGCAGCGTGCAAACAAAATACAAAAAAAGAAACTGTTCTTTTCTCTCTAACGCTTATGCTTGATGAGAAAAAGAAACAGTCGCATATTTCGTCACGTTTCGACAATAAAATTCAAGGAGAAAACCTCCATCTAGATATTACCGCTGTAGTTTTAGTAAAGCGACAGCAACGTTAATGATGCTTTCATTAGAATATTTGAATTAAAATTTGTAGGGCAAGGATATATATTACATTGATTTTTTAGAGTTCTGTTGGCAATATAGTTTTCTTCAGATCGTAACAAAAACAAAAATGGAAGTGAACCAAATGAATGTGGAATCTTCGAATTTCGTCCGAGAGTTATGCACACGGCAAAAAGTGCATGGGACATATGAGCCATTCTAGAATGTCTGAGCACCAAAATTATCATGAGAAACTAGGCAATTTGATTTCTGGATGCAGTTTTGTGCATTTTAAGACGTTTTCAGGCGATGTTTCGTTAAAAAGCTACGATTTAGTTCAAAACTAATATCAGATTCGGAATCAGCGTTAAAAACCGAGACGATTTATATATGTTGTGAATAATTCTGAGAAAAAAGTTTTTTTTGAAAAATCCCTGTACTCCCCCTCAGGAATGGTCTGATCAAAAATGACAATTTTTTCGATAACTCAGCCATTTCTTGAGGGACGCTTCTCATCTTCGAACTCGACCGAGATATTCATGAGATTGAACTGTGTGGAAAATTTCATCACGATCTGACTCTCCTTTCGAAAGTTATCGCGCCTACAGGCAGTCGGCCGGACACACTGACCGATTCTAGAGTGTACTCACTTTTTGAGTACGCAATAGCTTATTCTTTTTACTAACTTGTATCCATGTTTACTTGACAAAATACTCTCCTTTACTGTGTAAGTTACATAAATAAAACATGATAAGGATGAAAGCAATATTTTCCTCATAAGTCAAGTATAGTAACATCAGGAATTTTTCTGTTGATTCAAAAGTTATTTACTACTAATGTTCTTGATTTAAGAGTCAGATATTTCATGCGACAAAACTTTATTTGCGCCTAGTTTTATTGCCAAATAATATCGCGAAAATTCTTCGAAGAAGTAAGCATCGATGTCGTTCTTTTACTTGATTGTAATATGATTTTACCAGAAAATTCAGTTTTTGCTTTTTAACAAAACATCTCACAGTTTATCAAAATTGGAAGTTCGTGCGTTGAATTTCTATAGAATATATCGGCCTATTTGCTGCTTATAAGAATTTAAATTTCTAGTGATTAAATGCGAGTGGGGCAGATATGTTTTTAATCGCTTAAAAAAATCTTGCAGAATAAGATAAGAAAAATCGAATTTGATAAACTAAAGGATAAAAACAATTGCGATAAGACGCTCACAATCAAAAGAATTTCTTGTTTTTGGACAAAGTAATTTTTCATGTCCGTCGATTTATCTACAGCGATAAAAATCATAGGGAATAAAATGCGTTTACCATTTCAAGTCAATCTAATATGAAAACTGATTACGAAGACAAATGAATAAAAAAAAAGATATTAATATCGATGGTGATATTTACTTTTCCTACGAACTTTAACATAAGACTATTAGTTTGATGAGTATTACACGGCTTATCTAAATTTTTGAACATGAAAGCTACTATCTGGTTTCTTGTTGTATGCAAGCACAGATTAATCCGGCAAGTTGTTAAGAATGTGTTTCTTAGCTAACGAAAAATCTTATTTTGCGCTTTAGATAACTTTACAATGTGGAAAAGAACGCTGCTGAAAATTTCCATTAGAGACTTGCACTCTGTAAACACGAATTAAATAGAGAAAATGAATTTCAACGTTGGAATTATGAAAAATTCTGCAAGTTTATTACACTGAAAACATAGTTCCTTGAAAATACTATGTTAAAAAAGAATGATTTCTTTGAATTTCACAAATATGTATTTTTAAATTGAATATAATCATTCGCCATACAAAACACTTCTCACGTTTACAACCAATGTGTTTTGATATGAAGTCTTAAGCAGCAGAGCAAAGAATTTTATGATACTTCAGAGAATATCAAAAATGACATTTTAAATGTTCGACCTAACGCCATCTTTAAAAGTTTTTTTTCCTCAATCAAACAGATGTGTAAGCTTGTTTGTATTCCATGACAATCGTTCAACAGCAATCTTTTATTCAATTCTATTGTCATTAAAATTTTCAAAAAAAGACCACGATCAATATTCGATAGTTTTACAAAAGAATTGGCAAGTAACAGTAGGTTAACGAAATGATCTATTCACACTCGAAGCTCAACTAGAAGAAAAAAACAATTTTTTTGCCTGATGAATAGTGGCGATGCCCTCGCGATGTCAAATTTAATCAAGTCTGTGTGGTCCCACTCGAGCCAGACGATAATTGCAATCTTCTCATGTGAACATCTTAATAGATGTGTCAAAGTAAAAAGATAGCTATGCATTTGTAATATCGCTAAAAACAAATGTCCGGATTTCTGTGATTAAATTTCTCCATAATAACAGATAGAACAAAAAAAAATTCTTCATAAAAGTACATCAAAATCGTAAGAGTAGTTGTGCGAAGTATGAGCTTGTTTGTAAGTGTTACAATCATCTCTTCACTCGCACCATATTTTTCTTTTCATCAAAGGATACAAAAAATAATGTATTTGAAGTCAGAGGCAACATATCTTTATTTTTCTAACAAAGTACATCACTTGACAAAAAGTGCTATATAGAACATTTCGATGCACACTTATAATCTTTGTTTCTATTTTTCTTGTAAGATTAAAACAATGCGTTTGACGTATAGAGATCATTTATCAACCGCTTGATTGTTTTTGGTTTTAGGTTATTAACCGATGCGTGTTTTTAAATGCTTCGACTTGATAGCAGTGGTGAGCATTAGAAGCAAAAATAAAACGGGCGTGTTCTTCTCACCTTCATCTGTCATTGTGTATTATTGATCATCGGATTAGAGAATAAAAGAAAAGAATCAATTGTCACACTATGATTGTGTCGTATTTCCGTTATAGATTTCTTCTTCTTTTTGTTGCCTTCATTGCAATCGTAGTCGTTGTCAACTAGCAGTGAACTGTAAACAGAGACTGAACTTTACACAGAGATCAACTTACTTTAACATTCTATCTGACACGCATATGCTTATTTATCTAGGCACAGTTCGTGATCGATGAATAAATTCGATGTCAAAAAAAGATTCTCTTGTTTTTGTAAAATATTCAAGTTTAATCAAGCGTAGGTATAATATATCGGAAATCAGTTTCTCTTTTTGACTATCCGGATTGCTCATGGAAACGTAAGAAGAAGAAGAAGAAGAAGAAAAAAGATTTTCAATATAAATGCAAACTTACAAAAATTCATAATTCTCCTCTTCTTTGAATTAACTTAGGTGTGCCGATATCTATTCAAGTGAATAGAAAGCCGGAAATGAATGCTCGGCAGATGATGCGTGACAAACTTTGTATAATTTGATTTTCTATTTTTCTCGTGTGTGCAGTTGATTTAGAACAGACTCGTTCGCTCTCTCTTTTTTTTGCCTTTCGACATCCGACATCAAGCTGGAGAGAGCAAGATTAGTCTTTTTAATTATTTAGCACGCATCAGAAATCTATCCTTTTCTAGATAGTAGAATGATTAATCAAGAAAATTTATGATCAAGCCAAACTAATTGACTTTTGTATCATACGCTTCGAATAGAGAATCCTAGTCGAATAGTTCTATACAAATATTTGCGGAATTTTTTTCTTATTAATAGAAATATCTTTTATGGAATTTCATTACAGAATATAAAAAAATGAGAACATATGTAGAAAATTTACAATTCGATTCGTTCATCATCACGCATTGTTTCATGTTTATAGTGCTGATAGACACAATCATGTTGACTGTTTGGCTCACTCAACGCAATGAAACATTGAGAGAGTGAGCGTGCGTAGGCGTAGGCACGCCATGGCACGATACCACCAATTTTTTTCCTACGTTATCAATAGCAGCAGCAGCAGCATCGTCGTTGTTTCTTACATTGGTAAAACTCTTTTCTTCTCTCCTTCTTTTCCTTTCCGACGGACTTTTCGAAAATGTCGTGAGTGTCGATGATGGTTGGTAGTAGATGAATAAGCCAGTTAGTTAGTTTCTCGTCTACAGAATACGAGCTTTCTGACGTCATCATCATATTTCAGAAAAGTGGATGATAGTAACAGAACATGCATCAAACACCAACGCATGCATACAGCAACATTCCTATATATATATATATATATATAGCGTGTTTTTCCTTAATAGCTTCATTCTACCAACGCGCTCTTGGCATACTACAACCAACCTTCAGCCCAATTCCCTTGTCAAAATACTGAGTAGTTATACTGCTGCTGTTCTTACTGCTGTTGCCTGTTGCTCTTTTTCTCTTTTCCTTTCTTTTAATATCTAATATTAACGCCGCCTTTTCTTGTTATAATGTGGTGGTACGACCGATGGTATCAAGGGAGAAAAAGAAAATTCGATTATTTTTTTCTCTTTTTTTCCTTTCTTTTCTATTTGGATCTATGGTCGGTCGTCGAAACTGGCGTCTTGTTTCGGGCACAAATGTTATAGGCATCAAGTGATGGAAGAAGAAGAGAAGAAGAAGAAGAAGAAGAAGAAAAAAGAAGACGAATATGTGAAAACAAGAAGTATGTGCGTGTACAAACACGCAGACATACTATTGCTGCACTCTTCTTTCTTTCTATCCATTTATCTATTTCTTTTCTCAAACATGTATAAAAACAAATTCGACCAAACACACGACTCCGTATATTATTAATACTAAACTGGTAAGCGTTCTCTTCCTTTCCTAGTCCACCCCATTTTTTCTTCGTCGTGTGCCGACTGCGAATAGGTCAATAATAACATGAAAAAGAGAAGAAAGAAAAAAAATAAGAGAAAAACTGGCATAGAGACATGCTCTGCATCTATCTATTTTTGTATCGAGTGAGAACAAAAGATCGGCGATTGGGAGAGGGAGCGAGCGAGCGAAAGAGAGAGAGACAGAGCGAGAGAAACAGAGAGAGCGAGAAAGAAAGACAGCACTGCATTGCAATCGACGCTGCGAGCGCATCATCACATCATTCAGTTTGCCTCTATCTCGACGAGCAGCAGCAGCAGCAGCAGCAGCAGCAATAAGAATAGTTGCAGTAGTGGCAACGAACACGAATAAGAATGGCAAATCTGTATCTTGACGATGATATTTTTTTTTGTTATCAAAGAGTAAGTCTATTTATTGTCTTTTTTCAAGTGCGGTTTGATTAAACAAAAAAAAAAACTCAATTAATCAAAGTAAAAAGGTTTTCTATTACAACTAATAATTCACTTTTGTTGATTATTGTTCAAATACTAGAGATCTATGTTAGCATTATTCGATTATATATTATTTGGCTACTTGGAGAAGTTTGGAATTAAAATATTAGAAATAAATAAAAGATATTGAACGTGAATATATATAATCAAATTTTGTGGTGCACGATTTACTATGAGAAAAGAGCTGAGTATCCAAAATTGTTTCTTTTGTTTCGATATTAACCAAAAAAAAGCATAATACAGACATAGAAACAACAATACACCTAGCCGAGCATGTTTGTCATACAACATTAATCATTAGCGTATGAAAAATGACGCTGATTAGAGAAAAAGTCCTTTTGAATTCTATAAATGTTCACACTTGCTCTATCCGTACATTTATGATTCTAACAGTTGAAAATTCATTTCTCAGCGTCTCTCTCTCTCTCTCTCTCTATCAATCTTTCGTATTCATTTTAATTTGTGTCAGCAAAGAGATTGTGCTATGTGAAAACTGAAATTCATATCACAGTCTTGCTTTGTTGACATGAAACGAACATTTATCATGCCAATCAAGGCAAAACCTATTATGATTCATTGTTAAAAAGTCATTTCTCTTTTTCTTTTTCTTTTTCTATGTATATGTATATATATATATATATATATTATCGTTTTTCTATTTCAGTACATTAATTTTTTCTTATGTCTTCATTTTTGCATTTTACGACCAAATGGAAATATGTGTATGGCGGTTCCTATCAGTAAACAGTCTGTGAAATGTTGAGATAAAATCGAAGTCATATCACAGCCTGCTTGCTGATGTAAACCGTCAATTGCATCACATACTATTGCGCATGTAGAATTGTTCAATATTAAAAATTGTAAGGACTTGTTTATACATATATATATATATATATTTATATGACAAAAGAAGGCGCCATCAATGTTTTACATAGATATGTTTATCTGATTGGTTTTAATCGTAAATGAACCGTGTTATTTATCTCTGTTTCTAGACATCTGCTATTGATAAATGAAAAATAATCGTGCTTCTAACAATGTTATCATGAACCGATAGAAAAAGAAAATATTATTTCAATTGTTCGTGTTTTGTTTAATGGGACATTTCTTGAAGAAAAAAAAAAAAAGACGGAGCGGAGGATTGATTCAATTTGTTGATGTGAACATTAAGTTTTGTCATAACCGATAATGAGTTACATAAAGATAAAAATCGATTTACTTATTTACAATTGTAGACCAGATGAAAATTAGTGAAATTTGCACACTTCCGCTATCATTATGAATTGTCAAATAGTGTTAAGAACGCCCGGGGGCGATCGTGTTATCACTTAATCCTGTTTTATTCGCTGTGAATAAAGGTTAATTTTGTTAGTTTTCTTTCCTATGAAAAAAAGCAGGCCTTGCTATTTTCTTTTTTTACATTTAAATAACATATTGAGAAAATTTTCTATTTTACGATTGATTGAATTTAATTCAAACTTGCGTTGCTATGATTCAGATTTCTATTTTATTGTACAGTCGATGTTCGTCAGCACGCGACCTCTATCAACATAAAATTGGATTCGATACAATCAGTAGATCGTAGTAATCTATGGAATTGAGAATTTTTTCATGAAATTCTATGCAATTATGTTTGTATCGCGTATTTTCCTATCTGGATTACAAAAATATCAACATTCCTTTCAATTATCATGTTCCCGGTGTTTCGCATCAGATGCTTCACGGTCACCATCAATAAAAATTCATGAAAACAATCTTAATTCGACTTCCAATGATCAAAAATCAGCAACGGATACTTCTAATCAGAATGAATGGCTATGGAGTTATTTAAGAGATCGAAAAAATTTTTCAGATCTTAGTGAAGAACAAAGACGAAGTGTTATTGAAATAGGTTAGAATATAGAAATGTTCAATGAGATTTTGTATTTTTAATTTTTTTTCTAGAAATTCAAACATTGAGAGAAAGTGGTGATCGTGTACCAGAAATTATACCCGACGAACGATGGATTGAACTATTAAAATTACCTTCAACTGAATCTCGAAAAAAGTTATACGGGTGAGACTTTTATCATGATGGACAATTGTTTTTCTCGGAACTTTTTGAATCGATCAATGCAGCATTTCGAGTGTCGTTTAATTTCATTTTATGTTTTGTGAGTAGAATCTAACAAAGACTAAGATAAGATTACAAGTATTCGGACTTGAAACTGTAGTTTACCTTGTGAGAACACAAAAATTGAGTACTCTCAAGAAACACATGTTTGTTATCGGTGTAAATTACATACGTGGTTAAAGACTAAATTTTAGATTCGAAATCATATCGTATTGACCAAAAACAACGGCATTAATTCAATGCCATTGAGAATTATCCTTAGTCAAGAATATGAAATTGAACGACATTTGACTGTAGATTATACTCTCTGCTTCTCTTATATATAGTCGACTTCAGATTGTTTGCAACTTGCTGTTAACTCGACTCGGTACAATGTAAAAAAAGGCTAAGTGTAAGCGAGACAGGTCACTATGGACTCGACTCATTCACATATAAAGTGTAGCAAGCTAGCTTATATATATGAAACGGTTGGATGGCTGTTTTAAATAAGATAAGATACAATCGAATTTATTTGTTTAACGAAATAGAATTCATTAGTATATAAATGTAGGATTGATGAAGTAATTTTCTAGCATAAAAACAACCGTTCTAGGAGTAATATCGACGAAAAAAATAATAATGATTGTTTTTCCGGATACGTTAAAAATATTCAAACACAATACCCTTTGCCTATTGAACGGAACTCAATAGATAATATACGTTTTATATCATTTCCTGGTCTTATTCAACGATGATCGATTCAAAGAAGACTTGAAATGTAGCAGTCGTTGAGTATGCAAAAAGTAATTTAACTTTTCTAATTCAAATCTCTCAAGGCATACTTTTCTTTCTACATAAAAACAACATATGAGCTAAAGCACGTCTTGAAAATTCAAATCGTTTTTATTATTGTGAAGCTAAAAATGATTTTAAAATAATTTACGTTTCTCTTTTGTGAATAGATATCTTTTCCTCCGTGAACTTAATCGTAAACATCGTGCGGCAACAGTTGCTTTGAATGATATTCGCCGTGCTGAATCTGCCAAACGTCGTGCAGCATTGCTTTCGGAAGGAAGACCGCCAACAAATTATCCCGGTTATTCATCAATGTTTCGTCATACAGGACGGCACACTGAAAAATATATCCGCGAACAATTAATGTTTGCACCAGCGCGACTCGGTGAAATGCTTGTTATTGATTGTGGTTTTGAGCAAGATCATGCGCACGAGTATTATTTATCAAATTTAGTTGATCAAATTCAATATATATTTGCTGATATAACTCGTTACCATTCGCCGTCATTTGTTTATTTAACTAATCTAACGCCCCATGGACGATTGCAAACAGAATTCAGTCGTCGTGCATCGTTAGAAAATATGTGTTTCGAAGTTACAGAATCAAGTTATTTAGATTTATTTCCACATGATAAACTTATTTATCTATCACCGGATTCGAATTTTGAAATGACATCATTCGACCATGAAGCTATTTATATTATTGGTGGAATCGCTGATCGTAGTAGGCATTTTCCGTTTTTTCCTCAAGGAAGACTGTACAATTGAGTTTAGTAGCGATTCATTTTTTCTGTGTTCCATTCAAAGCCTAGCTATACTTATTAATTACTCGGACCTAGCATAATAGTTTGAAGCAGAGCTTCAACGAAATCATATTTATACTTTACTTGTTTAGGCGACAATACAAGCAGCAAGTATTCATCAGGTGTAATTTGATATAAACATTTTTCTATTTTCTATTTTTAACGAGAATATAACAGACTAACGTTTTGCTTATGTAAATTTGTCAGACTTCTTTGTTCCAACAGTTCGGAAAATAACTGTTAACGATTCGACAGGGTCTGAAGATAAACGGATGCGTTCTCCTGTGCTGTGAAAATTTAAAGCGGAATCGTTTTATCTTAATCTATCACTGGTTTTGATTTGTCAAGGATCTTTTATTGATAGTCATATCTACAGCTCAAGGCCGTTTCCTTGATTAATAAGTTTGGTCTCGAGGATATTGTGAGAACAGTATCAAAGCAATATTTTATTATGTACTTATCTTTAGTGAAAACTTTGGTCCGAAAGAATAAAAATTTCACTGTGGACAAAATGCTTTCGAATAACGTAGAATAATAAAATACATTCTGTTTTGCGACGTAAAAACCACACAAATATATGCAAATAAAGGCTAAGAGGAAATAATGGATTTTTTGATCGAGGCCAACACTATTGATGACAGTCTTCAACTGTAAATTATTATCTCCGTAGGCATTGTCGATCGGCTAAATTCAATGAGACATTCCGGAAAGTAAATTCAATAGGAATTGTCTCTAGCTTGATTTTAATACAAGCAGTCGAAATACTTCCGAGAACAGGAAAACGATATTATCTAGCTCATCATAATTGCCAATTAAAATCTAGAGATCGCTTCTAGAATATAAATAACAAAAATTACCTCTATTATATATACTTGTCAACTTCAGTATTGCATATTTTCTCGCGCTGTCACATATCATTGCTTGCTAGGCAGTTAAGTGTTAAATTGCTGATGACTAAAACTCTATAATCTATTTTTGGCATCAACAAAGATGTAAATCGACTGAATTCATAATGAGGTCAGAATTCACGACCTATCCCAATAATTGGCTTCGCTCCCTAGAAAGCAGTGCCTTGTATGATTAGAAGAATATCTTCCGGTCAAGTCATACAAAATCGAGTTGACAGTTAGTACTTTAGATTAGTTGATTCGTGATTATTGAATGTTAAATAGTTAGAATTATTCAACAATAATTCACATCACTGACTTTTTTTTTATTAATAGCTGGTAAAAAACCGTTGACATTCGGTAAGGCAAAACGTGATAATGTAAAACATCAGCACTTTCCTATTGATCGATATGTCAAGTAATTTTTCAATTAAATTTAAATGAGAAGATATTCTATTTAGCATTGTTTTTTTTTGTCTTAGATTTGGCAGTGGTAGTGGCAAGTCATTAACAATAGATCAAGTGTACAATATTTTAATGACTTTAAAACATACTGGATCTTGGGTAGAAGCATTTAAATATATTCCGTAAGACTTTAAATTGATTTCTCTAGAGATTATTCATTCTTATGTTTTATATTAATTTAGTGATCGAAAAGTTGCTGAACGATATGCAGAAAAAAAGGAATCAAAGCCATATGATCGTGAAAAATACGTCCGGGGACCCTAGTCAAAATAGTTAGTGTTGACTTTATGGATGTTTTCAGTTTCATTCTAAATGAAAAACGAAAAAACGACACGTCTTTCATTAGTTAAACAGTGTCTTGCATTAAATTGTATGATTTTTGTTGTTTAACGATTGAATGATGTAAAATGTAGGATCAGATTCATGCAATAAATCTACAAAAACTATGACTTTTCTTTACTTGAGAATGAAAGAAATTGCATTGGATGTCTTAGAAAAGATTGCGCAGGTAAAAAAACGAGTAGCTACTAATATTACAGATTATTTGTGAAATAAGACCACCGTAAATTTTAGTTCTTCACAATTGTGAACCACAATTCTATACAAGAATACCTCGAATTCATTATAAAGAATCTTTACACATGCTTGCCGGATTGAATATAGAAGCATCTCATTTTCTCATTTATGAATTCTTCAATCATCATGGTCAATTGTCAAGAGTAATATCTTTTTTTTATAAAAAAAAGTAATGCAAAGCTGATACTTTTCTGTGCACCGCGTACATAGCGTTGACTCTAATATCAAATACGAAGCAAACTGAGAGTCGCGCTATTGAAGTTTTAAATTTAGATTTTATTCATCAAGATTAAATACTTCAAGTAATTGCGCGCACGACAAGTCATAAAATCCGACATTTTTATGTCGTTCTACCTTATTTAAATCCGCTTGTGATTAAATCTTTTTTAAGGAAATCCCATTCAGAATACTAAAAGCATCTTAAGTCTTGAGCCGTGAATGTTGTTGACATTAAGAGGGAAAATAATCATTCGAATTATTCTTGCGTAAAACAACGGTAGATGGTTTCTTCTATTACATCAAATGATTATCTATTGACATTCTCAATTGATATTTTCTTTGACTGCATGCAAGAATTTCCATGTAAAATACTGTCGTTGATATATTTTTTGTAACAAAAATAATGTTGATAAAAAAATGAGACGACAGTGTAAAAGACAAAAAAAAACTGATTAAACACATGTAACATGAAGGGCACTTGTTGTTTGCGTTTGATCATCTAGTTTTTCTACTTCAATACAAATTAGACTAGAATTACCTTCGTGATTATTATTCAATTCGGTCAGTGAACGAGTATCTGCTAACAATTGTTGATTAGATGAGTTCATAAAAGGTGATGATGTTATTTTCATCGATGAATTTTGTGTTTCCTTTAAACATATTGGAATGTGTAAATGCGGACCTCTCATTGTTGTCGGTGTTCGTAGTTTTGCTTGATTATTCAATGAATTATATGAAGTAGTCATAGTTGCGGATGAACGTCGACGTGCTATAGCTCCCCAAGGATCAATTTCAGTGGTTGGTAAATGATTTGATCTCTGTCGAAGATGATCCGTTGACGGCATTGCAGCTGTCGGACCACAACGTTGTACGCTTGCACCTTCATAATTGGTTCTAAACGAATATTGTCCACGTCGACAAACCATATAGAGAATCATTTCCCGAAAACGTTGACCGAATGCAGCAAATAAAAAGAAATTAATGAAACCATTAAATGCAATTAATAAATTCGCAAATGTGTTAAAACGTTGTAAAGAATTTTTATTCAAGCATGGCGAGAGTTGAACAAGTAAATTAACAAATAAATTTATTGAACGGCATAACATAAATGTTAAAACAATAACAATTAACATTATTGTTATACGAATATCTGCTTTCATACGTTGGCCTAAACGCTTTTTTTTCCTTTTAATTAATAACAATTGATGAATCATACTGCCATTGCATAAAGTTAACAGAGTAAATGGAATAACAAATGTTATTGGAACATTTAAATAAAAGCGATAGATTGATAAATAAATTGTATTTGACCCAAGACTTGCATATGCTAATTCAACTAGTTTATAAGATGAACTATAATTTACCGTAGAATTTGTTGATGATAAATAGAATTTTATTGCTCGTGTTTCTGTACGGTATTCAAACCAATGTGGTAATATATAAATATTAACAATGATAATCAAAAGTAAAACTAAACGCAATGATGTTTTACGACTACGTATTTTTTCAGCTAATAATGGCCAACATATGAGAAAATATCGATCTCCACTAAGCAGTACTGTTAAATAAGTACTACATAGTAGTAGCATAGAAAGTAATGGTGTTGTAAAGGGTGCAGCACGTGCATAGAATTGTTCGTAACTATTGGCTAATAAAGCATTTCGATTTCTTGTATCTGGCTGATATAGATAAGCTAACAATTCCGGGTATGAAGCTAAAAAAAGTCATAATTTTTTTTCTTATCTTCGATTTATGATGCATTTTTTGTTGGCACAATCATAATCAAGTACGCAACAACAACAACAACAACAAAAACAGTGACATTTTCTAGTTGCATACAAATCAAATGGTAATTTGATTCTTTAATTGTGATCATAAATTATTTAAAAGCATATCGTTTTCATGGTCGTAAAAAACAAAACAAAAGAGCGTTTATGTCGAACACTTTGCGCACTATTCTAATTAATCATTAGCGAACTCGAGAACGCCCTGCTATTAAAACTTCTCATGAGAAGTATTGTAATAAAAAACTAAGTTCACAACCAGATTACAAGTAAAATGCCGACAACAACATTTTCTCCCCCAAGGTTTCATAAGTAGTATAAAAAAGAAATGATGCAGATAGAACAAGTCAGATAGATTTATTTTTACAACGCAGAAAAAAAAATGAGGAATCAATTACTGATAGATACGATTTTTTCCTCATTATTCAAGTGTTGAACATTGCACTTGATACAGACACGTTTTCAGCAAATATTTTTTTTATTTTAGGAAACTATTGTGTTGACCAGCTAATAGAAGAAGATGATATTTTAAAAATAATATTTCTGGTATATAAATGTTAAGTTTTCTTTGGCGATTTTTATCGCCATTCATGCTTTTTCCCACAAGCCCTATGGAATGATTACGTATTACGTGACTGATAAAACGGATAAAAACAACCATTCAGGTGGGTATTAATGAATTACATGCAACTGGCTTAGAAAGTGAGAAAAGAAAAACTTAGCTAAACGAACTAGACTGTAAAGGAATTAAATGGAACGTGATTAAATGAATTCTATCGGTATATATGCACGAGAGAAAAATCTGCTTACCTATGGACTTAATCGAATAATTAATTACAAGACCGAGCAATAGAAAAACATTGCATACAGATAATGCCATTAAATAAACATGTGTTGAACTGTTTCGCATACGTGGATGAAGCAAAATAACCACCGTAAAAATATTGGTAATAATACCTTAAATTAGAGAAAGAAAAAAGAAAAAAACAAGAGATTTTGTTTTTATTAAAATTAATTCATTTTTTTACCAAATATCGAGAAGATCAATGTTAGCCATCCGCCCACAATATATTTGATCGAAACTGTAGTTGGATCGATTCTGTTTAGTTCGGCTGAACAATTGAGAGACATCAGTCGTCATTGGTATTCATAGGTTGTTTTTAAATGTAATTTAATTTTCGAGAAAAATAAAATGAACTAAAATAGGTATGTGTAAATCATAGAAATTACAGTTTAACGAAGTACATCGGCTCGTTTGCATACAAATGATGGAGACAAATGGTCGTTTGACCTAGTATTAACAAGCTATGTCGTAATAGATCTCTTCTTAGGAGAAAAAGAAATGAGAAGAAGAAATAAAAGCGAGGAAAATTTCTCTTTTTGCTCGCAATCGTCTTTCTTTAACTTCAAGTTAGAACTACAAAATACATTTAAGATAAAAAGAAATAAATCGTATGTCACGACAACATGTAATTCAGTTAACTATTTCTCTCTCTCTCTCTGACAGGTCTTCTACGGTTATTATGCTCTCTCAGTTAACAAAAAAATGTTGCCTCAATAAAAGGTTCGCTACATATTATCAAGAGTATAAAAAAAAACGGAACTCTTTTCTGCCTTTTTTTAATAATATATAAATGATAGATATAAACAAATAACACCTGATACTAGCTTTTAATCCAAAAACGATAGTATAAAAAAGAATAGAATATTAATGTATCATTCTTTTGTATGCATGAAAAAATCTGTATTATATATATATATATATATATATATATAATGGGAAAGGAAAAGCAGCGCTTTTTCTTTCAGCTTTATTATTCTCTTTTTGACAAAATTACAACAAAAGATACGTTACATTCATTGTTCTTGACAAAGAATGGTAGATCATGAATATTGGAAAGTCTCTTACAACTACGCCGCATTTTTTCGTGCTCTCATCATCACCATGCAGTGCCAATAAAGATTTATCTTAGTAAAAAACACACAAGCAGAGAATGTGCGGGAAATAAGTCTGAAGATCAGTGCACATTCGTGCACTCAAAAAAGTGATTCCTTATATATATATATATGGAGAGAGAGAGAGAGAGAAAAGGGGGAGAAAGAGAAAAAAAGAGAGAACAGGCCAACTGACAAGTAATTCTTGAATTCTATGGAAAATTGGCTGCTGAGAAAATAGACAACGATGGTTGTAACATTTTTTGGTCTTCGGACGTTATTTTTATTATAAATAAATTGTTTCTAGTGATATTCTGACAACATCTAATGGCTCGACAAAGAATAAACGGCGAAAAATAGATTCCTTTTTTTTTAGTTTTTCATTGTTAACATGTGGACTTGTAACAGTTAACACGTCATATTAAGATTTACAGTTGAACAACTAAAGCAAAAGCCTGAAAATTACTTTTACACTTTAAAAAATAAAATAAAAGAAGCCTGTGAACTTAAATAGCTAGTCAATGTCAGGAGAGACAGTGATAAGCTAGTCAGTTCACAAAAATGTCTTTAGGGAATCTAAAATGAGTAAGAAATTTAGTTCAAAATTTTTGTTGATTAAACCATACCGCATGTACCACTAAGAGTAGGAGTAGGAAAATTGCCCGTATGCTTCTTTTTCTTCTGAAAAACAACTTATTATATATTAAACCATTTATTTCCCATGATTCAAATGTATTCAGCCGTATTTTTATCGATAATATTCATATTTAATAATGATTACTGAATTTGAGTGAGGCTCAATTCGATTTTCATGCTTTTGTTTTCTTCTCAATCAAGATGATTGCTATTGTTGTTCGCCATCATGAAGCTTTCAGGGCCTGAACAGTACAATGAATATACTCAATTAGATCAATAAGTCTAACCTAAGGTCCAATAGAATCGTAAATAACGTCATTGCGTTGAAAAAAATCTTACTACAAGTTTGCCGAAAGAGAAACGTTTCCTATACATGAAATTTCTAATAAACTTTAAGGGCATAGGACTTGAAAGAAGATTTTTTTCCATTTGTTAGTTTGGCCTATTTGGTAAACATAAACCGTGTAAATAACGGGAAAAAATAAATCTTTTCACTCGCCCAATTTACTCATTAGGAAGCAAATGACTGTAGATCAGACAAGTACATTATGAAATTGATTTTTCTAATGCATATTCATACTAAAGAGTATATATATATATATATATGCTAATACTCATCTAGCTAGAAAATGCTTTCCGAAAAAGTGTTCCTTCTTTTATTTCTTTTGATATGTCCTGAAGCATGGTGACATCACAGTCGTCAATGTTATACCCATACAAGTAGCAAATTTTTCTTCTTCTTCATATGTGTCCCATCATTTGTATGATGATAATCGAATATTCGATAATAAAAATGCATTGAAAACAAAGACCCTACAGAACCGATGTCTATTTAATGTGTATAGGAAAAGTAATCGTCAAAGAAATTCTCATATTTTTCTTTTTTTAGTCTTGTTAACGCGTGCGAGTCATTGTCATCACTAAGAAAAAAAAACACATTTCGCTACTAAAAGCGAATAAGAATAATAGTTTTTATCCATACATTAAATTCACAAAAATATCTTGAAGAACAACTGGCATTATGAAAACGGAAGAAAGAAAATGAGCACCATTCGTATAATCAAAGAAAACATATTCAAGTTAAAGTCACCATTACTAATAATAATGAGTGATGCGCGTGTTGACATGGCGAACATAAGACAGCAAGACAGAAATATATAAACATGCAAATCTGTAATGACACATGACATTTGAGCTGTGCTCATTGATAAGACAGCAAGTTACAATTAATATATGAGACATATTTATTGAAAGAATATATAAATAAATAAACAAGTTCTTTGGGTGATCAATTCGTATCATTCGTGATTGACAAGACTTCGAATAGAATACAGGATATTCGCATTAGCAGTTGCTCGAATGATGTTTACTGTTAGAATTTTGAAATGATTTTTGCGATAATTTTGTGCGAAAATTCTTCGGCTTGTCATAATGAGATTGAGTTTCTTGAGCGTGAATAAATGTTGTTTTTAAACGTTCAACATTCGATTTTAAGGCTTGTGATAGATTAGTATAATTATATTTATCAGTAACAATAGCATGAATTTCTTCAACAGGTTTTATATTACGGAAGTCACTATCATATTCACTTGATGTTGTCACAGACCGCGAAAACATTGATGATGGTAGGGGTGGCGGCGGTGGAATCGATTTATGACGATTTGATTTGACTTTAGAAGATGATTGAGGTGGATGCACAGCTTCTATCTCGGTAGGCTCCGGGGATGTAGATTCCATAGGCATATTATTGACCTGAATAGCAGTAACACGATTGTCAGTATTAGCCATCGACGTATCAACGATAGATAGATTTTCTAATGATAGTCTATTGAAATGACTCGATTGAACAAGTCCACCTGGGTCTGCATTGACTGTAATTGTAGTCCATAGGTCATCTTCATTATTCCGAAATGATACATTTCGTTCAAGATTATCATTTGACGTTTGAGCTATTGCTTCTTCATTGTCTTGTTTAGCAATTGGAATTGTTTCAGTTTTCGGAGTTGTCGTTGGTGATACATCAACAATTTTAGCCAATGGGATTTCATCTTCGAATCGAACTGAACTTCGACGTCGTGGTAAATATGGCATTTCATTAACTTCATCAATACTTTTTCGTTGCGAAAGTGAATCGGTTTGCGTTTGTCGTTCAACAGGATGATGCATTGAATGATGATAACATAAATTTGGTGGAACAGCTCCGTTTTGTTTGAGATTATTTAATCGATGAAAATATTCATCGGGAACAACAAAAGGTCGATAGGGTTCCTGAATCGATGGTTGACGACGACGACGGCGACGACGACGAGAAAAACATGAACAACATATACGACGAAATCTTGAGCGTTTTTCTATTTGTCGATATTGAGGAATAGGAGGATAATTATATGGATAAAGTTCAGAAGGAGTAGTAGTAGTGGTAAATTCTCGACTATAAGCAGGATCAATCGGATGTCGATGTAAAGGCTAACAATGGTGACTAATGAAATTTTTAGAAAATAAAAACAATTTTAGATATTTTACCTGTAAACGATTTGTTTCTATGGATTGTCGTGAAATTTGAGATCCATATTCACTGGAGTCTTTTTCAAATTTAGCTGGATTTCGGTTAGGCATCAATTGATTTAAGAGTAACTTTAATGTTTCATGTGATTTTTTAGGTTTAGAAAACAATTGAAATCCACGAACAAGTACATTCAATAATAAAGTTAGAGTTGTTAACCATCCTCCTAAAATAGACGAAATGATCATGTTCGTAGTCGTATAAATTTCAGAGAATTTTCGAAAAAGAAAACTTCATACCAATAGGTAAACTGATAATTTTCCATCTTGATGAACTAAATACTTCTGGCCCTGACGACGAACAAATCTTGCCTGGACTAGTTGTACAAAACTTAACAACACCATCAGTAACAATAATCGTCGCTACGAATGCTATCAAAGTAAATACTAATATAAATACTCCAATAGGCAAACGTAATAAACGTTCTGTTCGAAGAACCCGCCGAAATACAATGTGAATCCAAAGTGAAATAAATGAAACAACAAATGCAGAAAGATAAGCAAACGATGCAAATTCACATGTATAAACACCGCCCCATGCAGTTTGTCGATCGATTGTTTCGACAGAGAATAGTGTTACGTTATCACGTAGATAAAGTTTAGCATACAATGGACATCTAATGATGTAAAAGCACACAAAGAGATTTATAACGAATCCTTGAATATGTGAGCTTACTGTTCAGCTAGTTCATTTCGTAAGATGGCAACAATCATAGCTGTATACATAGCGCAGATCATAACAGTTATGTGTAAAAAATCGATAGCCCGCCAGAGATGTTTATCTGTTTCACGCAACCATTGGTCAGCTGTTCTTGCAGATGAAGATGAAGTACTACTGGATTTTTCACGAGATGTTACTGAATTGGATTGAGCCTGTTTTCCTGTTGGTCCAATTGCTGGTAGACTCATTTTCTTAATCAAGTGAGAAACTATGATAGGCAAGAAATAAACTAAATAACAAGAAATGAGCTGTGTTTCGATGCACACATCCGTTTCGCTTTGATTTAACTCTAATACGACGAATACGTTGCCTTCAATTTAAGAAGACACACACAGACACAAAAGATCGTTTTGTGGGAAGAAACAAATGTACACCAATGAAAACATCTATGTTTATACATGTTAAATAGTATTGACAAGTGAATGATAAAGGTCAAGATTTACATGATGAGTGTTCAATTGTTTAGTTACAATGAATCTTCATGATATTGCAAAATATTCATGAAAACTACACAGTCAACACATTTTTCCTAGTGTGCAAAATTTTCATAGAATTGCATCATTATTCCCTATGTGATTTTACTACGCAATACGTCAATATCTTTCCCTGTTGTTATTTCGCAATAACGCTTTTCTTCTTTCCTACAAAATCGGGTCAATCATAATGTATATTTACTAATAGAAGAAAAAAATCAATGCAGCTTGTTTTCGTTGTAATTATCTACGTTTTTCTTTTTTATGTCTGTACTTCAAGCACAAGATTTTGCAAAGAACGAGAAAGAATAAAATAGTTTGGCTCTCTTTCTTCATGAGTAATGTTATTGTGCAATGACGTTATTGCGTCGTAACTTTTTCTATTGCAATACTCTTTTGCATCTGACTATATATAAAGGTGGAAATTCGCAACTCAATGTTACTTACAAAAAATTGATGCTATTGTGAAAGAAACTTTCGCTATTTCTCTACATTCATAATTTCTCCTACACAACTATGCCGCGCAAACTAGATTAACTCTTATACACATTATCATATCACAAATTAACGCTAAACTTCGTTCAATCGACGACTATTACAGTTTATTGGTAAGCCCTCTGCTTTTTTCATTCGTCTTGTCTGTTTTATTGTAACGAGCATTTTCTTGCTGTCGAACTTATTCGTTGGCCATCTGTAGTTTTGAGACTAAATATAGAGAACGATAAAAAGAAGCGCCCACGACCACGGCTGAGTCAGCTTTCGTTAAAAGAATGGCGCAATAACATTATATGTAATTGCGAAATATTTTGCTCATTGGAAAAAAACAGTGGGGAAAAAAGGAAAATCGTATAAAAAGAGAAGAATTTCATCAAACGTCTGCATAAGCACTAGTTTACTTTCTACCCACCAGTCGTAACTGTGATAACCCTTATATTCTCATTTCAATAGAAAACAGTGCACATCCATATTTTAAAAGATAATCATATTTGTGAAGCGACGCTTGCCGTGTCAAATAAACGAGAATACAAGAAACAATCTAAAAACGGATTTTTCATCTTGTTATAATTTAAATCAGGCAACATGTCCTCCATTAAACATCCCAGCAAGTTTATTCAACCAGGAAAGATCGAGCATATTCGATTATCCAGCAAACCGAACCAAGGTTTACGACTCGGTAAGGCTGATCATGATTGCAGAAAAAATCATCATGAAATCTTAGAAGAATTTGAGATAGACGAGACTCGTAGGCAGCAAGACAATGTTAAAACATTATCAACGGCAGCAACTAATGCAGCCATTATGAAAATTGAATCAGAATTAAAACTCTTATGTTCTCTTCAGGTACTCAACTCCGACAAATCATCTTCAAATATTATCAATAGAGACGTAAATCTCTCGTCCTTATCAAATCAAACAACTCTTGAACCTTCAATTGAATTACCTATTGAAGATACAGTATTATTAGAAGAACTGATCAATAATTCTCAATTCTCGAAATTAGACAACGATTGGATAGATAGTCTAACTCTTGAACCAATTGATCAAGCGATTTCCTCCAATCATAATATGACGTACACAGAACTTCCTGATATGACTACGGAACAAACTGAAGAATATCTTCAAGATACTAGAATGACAGAAAGTATCCCATCAACATCCTATGACGATAGAAACTCGTCGGTTGGATCGGTATCGGACGACAACGAACGTGATGATATCAACCGACGTGGTTTAAAAAAAAGTGGTGGTCCCGTCCGGAAATTAGCACGATTTGGTAATAAACAAGTTATCAAATATTCGGATGAATATCATGATCGTCGCATAAAAAACAATGATGCTGTCAAGAAAAGTCGAATGAAAGCAAAGGAAAAGCAAAAAGAAACGGAAAATAAAATGAAGAAATTGGCGGACGAAAATCGTACTTTAAATGACCGGGTCGATTTATTAATGAAGGAATTGCATGTATTAAAGTCATTGTATAAAGAGTTCAATCAAGAACTACCAGCAGGTGCTGTGCGAGAACTTCAACGAGCTAATCTACATTAAATTAGTAAAACTGTTTCATGATGATATTCATCATTTATTTTTTCGTTCGTTCTAAACAAGCGATTTATATGTAAGCAATAGTTTAGATTTGCTGATTTCGAACACAATCAAGAAACATTTTCCTTGTTGGTCTTGCGCTTGTATTTGAAAGAAGATTGTTTTTTTATGATTGTTATTTTTTAAAATTTACCTTCTGTCTTGACTTGATGTATATTTTTGTTTTAAATAAAATATTTAAAAAATGGCTTGTCTATATGAATTTTTTGTTTGCTGCATAAAGAATATATTTCTACGCGAGATTTCTACTGTTTTAAGTATGTAACTTGACTGATGGTTCTCATGGAAGTACTAAAAACATCAAGTAGGCGTAGAATAGATTATGAACTTTGCCATTATGTCTTTTTCTCGCAAGTTTTTTCATCTTATGACTTGATTACCACTAACCCAGGTTGAACATTCCGGCCACCGGATCCCGTAGGATACTCCAGGGAATATGCGGGAAAGTCACCATATCATGCAGGAAATCGCTGGAATGTGGAAGCAGTATTCCGGTCAAAAATACAGCCGGACTTTTCCGGAGAATTCCTGCCAAGTTCCGGTGCTTTTCGACAGGAATTGATCGGAAATCACCGGAATAATGCTTCCACAAAATCAACTGAACTACCCGGAACCGGCCGTTTCCAGGCCGGACTGTTCGACCTGGGAAATAGCTAGTCGAAGTTATATGCACTCGAAGGACCTGAATAAACCGAGATTGTTTTTTTTTCTCTTTACTCCATATATATTTTCACTACAAAGAATGTTTAGTATGATAAATATTCAGCATCCTGAGGGGTATGTCTTACTCTATTTTATATCTACAGTCACACCCACGATTACTTTTTCATAGTTCTTATCACAAATAGCCTAGTGCGTCTTGCCTCAATCTCTCACATTGTATGGGGATTCTAAGGGTGCGATTTCTACATAGTCAGTTAATTCCATCCATACGTTGATTGTACTCTTTGTTGAGTATTTCGATGCGGAAAATTGACTTTGTTCTTGTAAAAAGTTTAATTAAGTTGTAGTTGATTCATAACGTCCTTTGCCACAAAACTAATAGAAAACTGAATCAGAAAACAAGAAGAATTCTTTAATAAAAATTTGTATTTATATGAAAAAAGCGACGATCATAGAATCAGAATACCCTCAAAAGTCACAGAGCCTCGGTAGATCAGAGAATTTTGCTTGCAGGATGATCATACATTGCTCAGAATAGAAAGTTTATTTTAATATGATATGTTCACCCTAAAATTTTGAATATATGATTAAACCTGCGAAAGATATTTGACAATTTATAATTGAATGTTAATCAAAACCGATTGTGTTTAATTTTCATTCCATCAATAAAAATTAAAACGTTTTTGGTCGAAATACACTATCCTCTTTTTATTCGGAATTTTTACGAGCCTTGTGTAGACCCTATTTCCAGCGAATTCAATTACTTTTCTTATATTTATAATAGACAATGAACATCTGCCCTCTCAAATATGAGCATATTTGGTTTTCAAAGTGTCTTTCGTAAAACCGGCTGGAGTCTCTCACGTATGCACAATGCGCGTTATAATTAGTAAGAACTTTATAAGAGGCAAGTACTTTTGGGACAAGGAAATAAAATCTGATGGCGTAGATCTTTGCTTTTTCCAAAACAAGTTGTTGAAATTCTCTCGCTTCTATTTAGCTTATCCATATCGTATAAAAATTACTAACCACCTTCAATGCGCTCATATTTTAATTAAACAAAATAAGGTGATTCGTAAAAGCGAAGATCGAAGCCAAACAGAAATTCCATTATTCGCTTTGTTCTACGAATTACGAACCCAGTTGAAAAAAAAATTCGCCAATTACCAAGTATTACATTGTAGCCTCCTGCCAAGTGGCAGTTTTTAGGATTTTCTAACATTTTGTTGAAAGTTCAAAACTCTGTGAAAAAAATTCGTTCAGAAAAAGAAAAAAAGAAATCATCAGCTTGCCATAATTACTACTGCTAATTGTGTTCCTGCAATGTTTTCATAATGAACACGCAAATTGCATCGACACCTGAACCCTACTTTCTATGCTCACACCTACACCCCATAATTGTTTGTTATAAAAACAAAATAGCATGGCAACGCAGGATAAATGCTCGAACTTTCAGGTATACACTTGCCATTGACATAACAAAATAAATGTGGAAACTTCGGATTTCATCCGAGAGTTATGTGTGCTGCAAAAAGTGCATGGGACAAATGAGTCATTCTAGAATGTCTGAACACCAAAATTATCATGAGAAACTAGGCAATTTGATTTCTGGGTGCAGTTTTTTGTGCATTTTGAGACGTTTTTCAGGCGATGTTTCGTTAAAAAGCTACGATTTAGTTCAAAACTAATATCAGATTCAGAATCAGCGTTAAAAACTGAGACGATTTATATATGTTGTGAATAATTCTGAGGAAAAAAAGTTTTTTTTGAAAAATCCCTGTACTCCCCCTCAGTGATGGTCTGGTCAAAAATGACAATTTTTTCGGTAACTCAGCCATTTCTTGAGGGACGCTTCTCATCTTCGAACTCGACCGAGATATTCATGAGATTGAACTGTGTGGAAAATTTCATCACGATATGACTCTCCTTTCGAAAGTTATCGTGCCTACGGCCGGGCACACTGACCGATTCTAGTGTACTCACTTTTTGAGTACACAAAAAGAACTGATTGGATAATGTTACGCTAAATTTATAATATACTCATATAAGTTACACAGATTCAAAAATAAAGAATAGTACTTGAGAATTCATCGTCGAATTTATCTACTTAAGGTAAACAGACGTGTTGCTTGAGAATGTGTAACGTAAGATAATTTAAATATTTTTGGATATAAGTTAACAACTTTGTTGATAATACATATATATTATTTAATACGGAGTTGTTTGATGCTTATAATTTCCAAATAATTTTATTTATTGAAGCGCTTCTTTTTATACCGAACTTACTTCGCCACCAGTCCCATTTCAATGGATGCATTGATAGAAACATCCACGATATCGTTGTTTCTGAAGTGCACTACTATTAAAATTTGATGAAAAAATGTGTTCTATATGTTTCTTTTAAACAAGTAAGCGACTTTTGAATTTTTTTACATAGGTCAGATAAAGTAAAGATCTTTAGAAAGGGCGATTAAAAAATACACCGAGCGAAATTGTATCGATTGGAAACTTTAGGAAAGTAAGTTGAGTCTCAATACAAGTTTTTTCTTTTCTGCTAAATATGATTCTAAATTAAATCAGTTTCCAAGACATACTTCAATCTGCGGAACACAATTCGAGTTTAAGGTTTGTTATACAGCACATAAAACGAAGGATACTTTATGAATAAACTCAATGACACCATCAAGTCCTAGATAAAATTTCTTACAAAAAATGAATATTTGTTGCGATCTATATTAACAGATGACTTTTTTTTGGCATCCTCTTTTAACGATAAGTTCTCGTAGTTCGAAACTTGGATTTTATTATACTCTTTGTACTCTATCCGAAGGTAAGTTTCATAGATGTTTAATATAAACTTGATAGCTCTATCCAAAGTTTATATTCCAAAGTTTTCTGCGATATCATCCTTGTTAATACACGTCTTATCTAACGTGTCGCTGCCCAAAGCAAAACATGAAAAATTTGATGAGTGCTTATTTAAACATCCACAGATGAAAATGAAGTTATCTTCACATGAAGATGTCTTCCGATGACTTACAGTGTCTTGTGGTGACCATGAAAATTCTTTTTATTTCTTTACCTACAACTAAAGAAGAAACTTTCTTCTCTTATCATTGGCTGAATTCCTGCAGAGTATGCAACTTACATTTGCATTGGTAATATTTCGTAGTTATTAAAGATATAGCACAAATTCTATCTGCTTAATGTTAAGTGAAAACGAGCTTGGTGTAAAAATTTCTCTTGTTCGTTTCTCGTCTCTTTATCTATTTGATAAATAATCTTAAACAAATGGAAAAAAACGAAAGTTTTCTCTCACACGAACGATAAATTCCGGCCTAACACACTCGTATCACGTGAATAGCATTGAGTCGCTATCAACGATCTGCGCACTAAAAACTATTTTTACGCGTCTAATTTCCTCTATGGAATCAACGATGTGTATTGGTATAATCACTGGAGTGGTTATAGTTGTTAGTATTTTGATGGAGTACTTTTTCTCATTGTTTAAAATACTTCTCAAAAGACCATTATCCCCAACAGGTGCACAAGAGATAGATGCTGAGGAACACATTTATGCGCATCCCAAATATGCAAAACAATTAATGGATCCTCGTACATTTGATGTACAAACAATTTATGAAATTCTTTTAAATGGCCTTCGATTGAGTGGCGATCGGCCACAATTTTCATATAGATATTCGTCCAATGAAAAATTTAAATCTTACACCTATAAGTAAGTAACAATAAAATAATATTTATTGAATTTACTCTCGTTTGTTGTAGACAAGTATTTGAGATTATTAAAGAGATTGGCAGTGGTGCAGTAAGAACTGGTCTTGAACCGTCAAATGAAACATTTGTTGGTATTTATTCTTCAGCGTCAGTTAATTATGCACTTTGTCTATATTCAACTTGGCCATATTCAATGATACCAGTAGGCATTTATGATTCACTTGGCCGTGATGGTGTCAAATTTATCATAACTCAAACTCGTGTTGAATTAGTTTTTGCTGATGATCTAACACGAGTGAAAAACCTAATTGAATGGAAAGATGAAACGATAGCATTGAAAACAATTGTTAGTTTTGTTGAACCAACAGACGAATTAGTACAATCAGCTCATGATAAAGGAATACAACTGATGACACTTGATAAGTTAAGAGAAATCGGAAGAAATAATCCAGTAGAAGTTGTACCACCGAAACCAAGTGATATGGCCTTGATTATGTATACAAGTGGAAGTACAGGAGAACCAAAAGGTAGAGAACGGGATAAAATGTTTTTTTTTGTTTTTAACCCAGGATGTTTATTCATATAGGTTGTATCATTTCACACGAAACTTTTATATGTTCAATGTTAGGTGTTGCATCTGCAATTGATATATTAGATCCAAGTAGAATTACACGTGTATTAAATTATATGCCTCTAGCACATATGTTTGGTTGTGGAACCGTTATTGCTATAAGTTATCTAGGTAGAGTTCATAAGTGAATATTTTTTAGCGAGACTTCTTTTTTGGCAATTTTCTAACAGGTGGAGAAATTGGTTTTTGGCAAGGTAAAGTTGAGAAATTAGTCGAAGATTTCCATGATTTTCAGCCAACACTTCTTACCATGGTACCACGTTTACTGAATAAATTATATGATAAGGTTCGATTAGAATTACGTAAAAAAGGAATGGCTGGTCGTGTATTATTTCAATTGGCTATTAAAAGTAAGCTTGCACTCATTCGACGAGGAGATTTTTCTCAGAATACCCTTTGGGATAAAATTATGTTTGAAAAAATTCGTCAATCATTTGGTGGAAAAGTTAATCGTGTTATTTCAACCAGTGCGCCGCTTTCACCTGAAGTTTGCCGATTTTCACGTGCTGCATTTTCATGTTTTTTCGTGGAATGTTACGGACAAACAGAATGTGTCGTAGGCTGTACACAATCAGTAAACGATTTTGAAGCAGGTGCAACAGGTATTCCAACACCACTCAATTATCTTAAACTAGTTGATGTGCCTGAAAAGAACTATTATGCTAAAGATGGCGTTGGAGAAATCTGTCTCAAGAGTCCAGCTGTATTCAAAGGCTATTTAAAAGATGAAGCGAAAACACGTGAAGCGATCGATGAACAAGGCTGGTTACATACAGGTGATATTGGCCGATGGACACCACATAAAACAATGCAGATTGTTGACCGAAAGAAGAACATGTATAAGGTTGGAATGATTGAAGAAATCCATGAGGAGAGAGAGAGGCATAGTCGCGATGAAAATATGTTCGAGAAAAAATTGGCAAAATGCCAATGAATCTACGTAATAGTACTCCATTCTAAAAATGGTATCAATCGCAGATTAAATGTCTTATTTTAAAAAGGCTTGTTTAGTTTCCGATATTTGAACGTAGATTGACACTCGATTAATGAACTATGGAAAAATTGTAATTCTTCTTGTTTTCATGTTCAGAATCTGTGCCGTATGTTTTTTGTGTAACCTATTGCGAGATGATCCCTGCCTCATCTCTATGATCTCTAGTCAAATGGATCGGAAATTTAAATGCAATCTAAATGTATTTTGATTTTTTTCTTCTAGCTAAGTCAAGGTGAATATGTAGCACCAGAAAAAATTGAAGATGTCTATTCACGAAGTCGATTTATTGCTCAAGTGTTTGTTCATGGTGATTCATTGGAAAGTGTTCTTGTTGCTGTGGTTCTATTGAATGATGAATATATAAAACAATGGGCTACGAATGAAGGCTTAGCCGTGCAAGAAACACTCTCATCGGAAATGGAGAAGAAATTAAAGCAAGTTGTTCTTGATGATATGGTTCGTGAAGGCAAAAAACGTGGTTTAATGTCTTTTGAACAAGTGAGAGCCATTGAATTCATTAAAGAACCGTTTACAATTGAAAATGGACTTTTGACACCTACATTCAAAGCGCGTCGATATGCTGTAGAAAAACGATACAATGAACTATTCAAAAAGATTTACAAAACTCTTAATGCTTAGTATAGAATTAGGTCGAGTTATCTTTTTTATTTTGTTGACCGATGTGTTTTTTATTAAATGTTAAAGTATAGTCTTTCGTCAGAAAAATAAAAGCTTAATTCCCAATAGCGTCTTATGTGTTGTTCGACTCAATGAATTTCGATAAATGAGGATGTGAATGTAGGTCTGCTATTTGCTCACACCCAATTTGCTTTCGAATGATAACAATTTACGAAAATCCAGAATCCAACATGTGCACCATCATTATAAAGGTTATCTTTCGATCACAAAATTTTCTATTAGTAGTATTATATAAATAGAATTGTACTTTATTTGTTCAGGAATAGATATGTTATCTTATATAGTCAAACTTTGAAATGTTATTTAATTTGAATTAGATTTTTCGTTTGTTGGTAAACGAATAATTTATTCACAGTAAATAAAAATGAGAAATAGTTTTGCTTATCTCATAATCTACAAGGAAATTTTATCTCGTGACTACCATGCTGATGGTTAGTTACCTACTTTAACTTTATGCATTGATTACAGAAGTTTACTTTTGTCTATCTGTAAAAAAAACTTCGTACTGTTCTTTTTCTGTCACAAGATGTTCTTGTCGTTTTTTAACGGACAAACTGATATATCTTGCCGCCATAATATTACACATAGCTTATATAGAACAGTCTATGCAAGTTATCGTCTGTTTTTATGACCCGTGATTGCATTTGCTGTGCATCAAGACTTGTAACTATGCTCGAAACACAAAAGGAAATGAATCTAACCCTTTATTATTTTTCTTTCTCGTTTTATTTTACTGTTGACTTGTCCTTCAGGTAAATGTCAAAGGCTTGGTTGGAAGCTAATATATTTAGTCGGTACATTCAAAAAAGAACATTTGCTTTTCCAGAAAAATATCAAATAGAGCTTCTGTTACTGGATGATTTCAATTTCTTGAGTGATTCGAATAGTTTAAGGCTTCAATAATTGAACGGTTTTCACAGAATTTTTCGTTTAGGTATCTTGCTATGACAACGAAATAAATGCTATGATACTAAAAATCAAGTATTTATAATGTATGAGTATTTTTGAAATGATAAAACAGGCTAAAGTTTTATTATTTCGAGTAAAACTCTTAGCTATCAACAAGTCTTTTGAAATTTATTTTCGTACTATTCTAATAGCAACTGGGAATTTTCTATTTTCAAGATGTATCCTCTTCTTTTAAGGACGAACCCATATAAATGGAAAGGTGGGGCAATTTATGAAGATATTCTTCCGTCTTTTTCATGCACGTTTCAGTTTGGTCGATGCATCACTGATGATTTTAAGGGGTAATGACAAATTATTACTTCTAATGCTCGTTCTTAGACTGATATTCATATATTTATCCTGTTTTCAATCTTTCACTACTTTACTACGTACTGTTACATCTTGTATTCTTCTATATAGCCTAGTACTCACGGCTCTCAACGCTTTGCTGATAGCTGTTGCTATGGCTTTACTTAATTTGTTCCTGTTAAACCTACTTTCTAATGTAAATCAGATACACGTGTGGTGTCTATCAGATTCCTTCTGTGTATTGGTGATATAAGACTATTGCTTTTGCTTACCTAGATGAGGGCGTATTTGATAGTTCAGTTGCAATTTCTATTCCGCAAAAATTCAATAACAAGCAGACAGTACAGACACACCTGTTAAAGCTGTATAACGCGGGATTTATTTCTCTCTCTCTCTTTTCTTGTGATCGATATATAAGGTTCGTATGATCAAAATAACCGGTTAGACAATAGAGAGTTGTTCATAACGAATGTCTACTTTTGTTTAAGATAAAATCTGATATAGTTTGAATTGAGAAATTGAGATAAAGATTTACTTGGAATCGATTATTCCACGTTTTCTCAATTTACATAATCATATGTCCACTGTCTCAACTTCAGCAACAAAAAAAACATCATTTCATGGGCACATTTGATTTGGAAAAACCGTACCTGAGATTACACACAAATGTGAATTCATTTTCTTTTCTTTTCTAGTTGAGTCAAGGTGAATATGTAGTTCCCGAAAAATTGAAGATACTTATTCGCGTAGTTGATTTATTCCGGAAGCAATTGTGTATGGTGATTCATCCGAAAGTTTTTTTTTATTGCTATTGTTGCATTGAATGATGAATACATCAAACAATCGACAAGCAATGAAGAGTATGATTATCAAGGAACCTTGTCAACTGAAATGGAAACGACCTTAAAATAAGTTGTCCTTGGTGACATGACTCGTGAGGACAAAAACCGTGGTTTAATGTCTTACGGACAAGTTAAAACAGTCAAATTTGTCGAAGGAACATTTACAATCGAAAATAAACTTAACACCAGCATTTAAATCTCGACGACGTTGTACAGAAAAGAAATATAAAGAAAAGCTTAAGTTGAACTGTATTGAATTTTGTTTATCAAATATTGAAGATCATAGTTACAAAAATAAAACTGAAGCAAATCATTTAAAAAGCACAGATGATGCATCGTACATTCATATTCACTACAGTTCAGCACTGCGAAATGAATACTATAGGAATATGAGCACTATACACAATTAAAACAGTAAATTGAGCCATTCACCGTCAACATATCTTCAGATATTATTTGTGACTCAACAAAATAAATAAATAAATAAATGAGGAAATATTGGATTCGCATCCGATTGTTACGTGTACTGCAAAAACTGAGTCGATTTATATATGTTTTGAATAATTCTGAGAAAAAACATTTTTGAGAAGACCCCTGTACCCCCTCAGGGATGGTCTGGTCAATAATGACAATTTTTTCGATAACTCACCCATTTCTTGCCGGATCCTTCTCATCTTTGAACTCAACTGAGATATTGATGAGATCATTCTGTGTACAAAATTTCAAGATAATTGGATGAGGCTTTCAAGAGCTATCGTGTTAACGGCCGGACACGCTGACCGAATCTCGAGTCTACTCACTTTTTGAGTACACAAAAACAATTCTTCTACTATTTAATTTCCATTAAAATATCTCCTATCTGCTCGTCTGTCTATAGTATTACAATCAAGGTTTTTCGAAAATCCGGCAATAGAAAATCAAGTAGATTTAAATGACGTGTATAAACAGTTTTTTTTCTGTCTACGCACTGCTACTAATCTGTAGTCGTGACGGAGTGTCTTTTTATAATTCTAACCCTTTGATACTTAAACGGAATGTAATAGGAGTAAAAATCAGGCTCCTCTTTCTTATTTTCAAAATGGCAATTTATTTCTTGAGCTATGATGAAAATGCAACTGTATGTGTGTACTGCACACACGTGTCACAAATTTTATATTCGTTGATTTTTACTTCGAATGCATAGCGTTCTCATGGAGACATAATGCATATCTATGCATATTTCTTTTACTACGATGACACAATCAGAACATACAAATATAAACATCGGCAATTCTCACCATATAAAAGAAATTTAAACAATATGTTCTTACTGCAGCACATTGTAGTGCTTTTTTCAGTTACTAATGGTCCTCGTCGTATATTTTATTTCATCATTTATGATTTTACCACAAGCCTTTTCTTCCTTCACATTGAATTCTGTAAAAGAAGAAACATTATCATTATTTTTCTTTTCGTTTTAGATTAAAACTCAATATTTGCTTTATAAAGTAATTTCTGATAAAATCCAAATCAATTTTACAGCAGGTAAATAAAAATGAGAATGTTTTTGTCTGCACATGATTGGTGTTAATAATAATATCTTACATCCGAGCCACCGTATTTGTTTACACACGACTGAGTACCCCGTTGTCTTACGAATAACACATTATTCAGCTGTACATATCCAGCATGCATTCGAGTGTAAAAAGTAGAACTTTGTTTTCTTCATTGATGGCAAGAGCAGGAGGATAGAATTTAAAAAATTTAATTGAAGGTTAGTATATTCTGCAGCTGTGCACAGTTATTATTTACATAATTGTCTCACTATAGTAGATCCTTTTCATTATCCAATCCGATGTGTGAAGATATAAATTCATCGAGATCCTCAATCGATATTTGCTCATAATAGAATAAAACACATATTGAACCCTGTTATCATTTGTTAACTAGACGAATCATTTTTCATCCAAGGATGCTGCGGAGAAATAATTGATAGTTTTCATCTCTCGTAACCGAGAAGCCCGCTGTTTCGTTTGGTTATCACAATGATGAGTATACATCTATTCTAAACTTTTTTTTGTGGTACCACAACAGCTGTTGCATAAGCAACCGCGCGACTTCTTTCAATAGATATTCTTGTTGTAGCATTTATTTGCCTAAATTTTAGTTATTCCATCATATTCATTGAGTACATTCTTTTTGTTTGCAAAAATAAATTTTAATTCAAGTTGTTATTACTTTTTGTAACACATTTTTGATATTTTTAGCAGAGTAATTGATAACACCTGTTACACTTGAGAGTATGCATAGTTTATATAAAACAGGCTTCGATAATTATCATAGGTTTCTTGGACCCGTGACTATGTCCAATGATTGAAAAAAAAAGAGTCATACTGTTGTAGTTAATTTTCCACCATGGATAAATAAACTGAATTTCCATTGTTGCAAAAAAACCCACGTTTCAAAAAGTAAGATTTTTTTTGCCATCGTGTTCTTCAGAATAATAAGGAATCACATATAAGTTACTTGCTAGCCACCATCATGCTATCTCTTGAATTCAGAACTCTTACAATCCTACAGGCACAACGTAGAATGATTTCTATGTTACTGTCGAAAATTGACCACTTGTTTGAGAGTCTATTTACTCGGTTCTCATTACTATGTATCAATCATCACAATATCTAGTTACTAAGACTTTTTATTTTATTTTAATATCTGTATCATAAACAAAGTGAATATTTACGTTATCATATTTTTATCTGACAATCATAGAAGATGATTTATTTTTTATGCAAGATACGAGACAAACATTTAAAAAACGAATAAGGATAACTATCTAGTTTATAGTTTTTATGTTTTTGATTTTTAGAGACTATGACGTCGCTCGTGTTTCTTTCCGTTATTACTGGATTGATTATCGCCATTAGTACTGTGATCCACTATTTTTTCTCACTTTTACACATACTTTTCAAGAAACCTATTCGTCCAACAGGTGCAGTGGAAATTGATCCTATAGAACATATATACGTACATCCAGAATGTACAAAAGGATTGAAAGATTACTCTTCAAATTGTGCTACAACAGCATATGAAAGTTTCTTATCTGGTCTTCGGTTGAGTGGAGATCGACCACAATTCTCATACAGACAATCATCCGATGAACCATTTAAATCTTATACTTATAAGTAAGTCAGATGTGTATAAGATTAATTGCCTATCTCCTTTCTCTTTAGGCAAGTATTTGAAATCATCAAAGAAATCGGTAGTGGCGTCGTAAATATCGGTTTCAAACCCTCGTCTGATACTTTCATTGGAATTTATTCTTCAACATCAGTTAATTATGCCTTGTGTCTCTACTCAGCCTGGCCATATTCAATGGTGCCTATTGGTATTTATGATTCACTGGGTCGTGATGGCGTCAAGTTTATCATAATGCAAAGTGCTGCTGAAATAATTTTTGCTGATAACTTAACACGTGTGAAAAATCTAATTGAATGGAAAGATGAAACAGTATCTTTAAAAACAATTGTTAGTTTTGTTGAAACAACAGAAGAATTAGTACAATTAGCTGATGATAAAAGAATAAAACTGATGACACTTGATAAGTTAAGAGAAATCGGTCGAAATCATCTAGTAGAGCCAGTACCACCGAAACCAACTGATACAGCAATGATCATGTATACAAGTGGAAGCACAGGAGAACCAAAAGGTAAAAAGATCTATTACATTAGACTTTTGTGGCAGTAAATATTTTTGAAATTAGGTTGCATTATTTCGCATGATGGTTTTATGTCTTCAATCTATGGAACTCTAGCTTCTTTGAATTTATTGAATATACCAGAAAACGAACTACACCGAGTATTAATGTATTTGCCCTTGGCACATGTATTTGGTTGTGCAACAATTGCTGGTGTAAGTTATTTCGGTACTGTTCAAACTTTGATTATACTAAATAACAGTTTCGCAAGCTTTGTTCTAACTAGGTGGAGAAGTTGGTTTCTGGCAAGGTAAAGTTGAGAAATTGCTTGATGATTTTCGTGATTTTCGACCAACAGCTATTACAATTGTACCACGTTTACTGAATAAATTATATGATAAAGTTCTATTAGAATCACGTAAAAAAGGTATCATAGGGCAAACTTTATTAAAATTGGCTATTCAAGGTAAATTAGCCCTTATTCGACGAGGAAACTTTTCTCAAAATACTATTTGGGATAAACTTATTTTTCGAAAGATTCGTCAATCATTTGGTGGTAAAGTCAATCGTATTATTTCAACCAGTGCGCCACTCTCACGTGAAGTTTGCCAATTTTCACGTGCTGCATTTTCATGTGTTTTTATTGAATGTTACGGTCAAACCGAATGTATTATGGGTTGTGCACAATCAATAAACGATATTGAGCCCGGTGCTACTGGTACACCGACACCACTGAATTATCTTAAACTAGTTGATGTACCTGAGAAAGAGTACTACGCTAAAGATGGTATTGGAGAAATATGTGTGAAAAGTCCCGCTGTATTTAAAGGTTATTTGAAAGATGAAGCGAAAACACGTGAAGCTATCGATGAACAAGGCTGGTTACATACAGGTGATATTGGCCGATGGACACCACATAAAACAATGCAAATTGTTGACCGAAAGAAAAATATGTATAAGGTAGGTAAGGTTTTAAAAATGAGTTAGACAGGATGAAATCGATCATACTGAAAGTATGCTATTTTTCATGAGAAAATGCAGGCGAAATTCACATGAAATCTGCATGTTTAGTAAATAAAATCCTAAACGACTACCATGCTACTGTTTTCTGCTCAGTATTCTATCAGCTTACTTAAAAAAATGCACCGATTAATTCATTCATTTATTTTTCTAGCTAAGTCAAGGTGAATATGTAGCACCGGAAAAAATCGAAGATGTATATGCACGTAGTCGATTTGTATCACAAATATTCATTTACGGTAATTCACTGGAAAATTTTCTCGTCGGTATTGTTGTATTGGAGGATGAATATATAAAACAATGGGCGAGTAATCAAGGTTTTGATCTTCAAGAAAATTTATCATCTGAAATGAAGAAGAAATTAAAACAAGTTGTACTTGATGATATGATTTGTGAAGGAAAACAACGTGGTCTAATGTCTTTTGAACAAGTTAAAGTCATTGAATTTATTCAGGAACCATTTTCAATTGAAAATGGACTTTTGACACCCACATTCAAAGCACGTCGATATGCTGTAGAAAAAAGATATAAGGATCTGTTTGAGAAAATTTATAAAACTGCTAACGCGTGAACACTATTGAATTGTTTTTTTTTATATGTTAAGTGAAGTTTTTGAGTAAAACTAATAAAATTGAATAATCTCAATATTTTTCTTATCTTAGTTTTACAGTAAAATAAACTTTGATAAATAGATTTTATTCGGAAGCAATACATGACATGGAAATATGTAAAAAAAACTCATAAATAATGATACTTCTAGCATGTATTTCTAGTAATCCGAAGGAGAAATAACTACGAACATGAGCAAAATGTCAATGAAATACTTAAAGTGCTGCTTAAACAATCAACGGTCTATCATATCGCGCTGAAGTGACAATAATTTAAAGTATAGTATTAATTCCACAGAATAAAATTAAAATAGCTGAAGCTTTAATCTAGCATCAGATAATTTTTTTTCTATCAAATCACACGGAAATATTTTTATGAATGTAAGACGCATGATGTTTGAGTACCAGTGAATTTCGTTTGGATAGTCATACGAACTTAAGAGGTCTGTCATATTCGATGAATGTATTCCGAAACGTATCTTTCAAGAAATATGACTATTTAATTTTAGTTCGTACGGTAATCGAGCTTGTTAAGAATAAAATTCACTATGTTAACCAGTGCAGTAATCTTGTTGGTTCATTCAATGAAGCTTTGCGAAGAATATGTAACAATAATACCTTTTCTGAACTATACGAAAGTGTCGCTCTTGCTAGCGTTTTACAATGTGAGGTGCATAGTGTATATCCGTATATTGATTACCGAGCTGAAATGAAAATCATGAATGCATTATATAAACCATTGGGAACATCAGCTTCAAATAATGGACGAATCATGATCTTTTGGTCCAGTACTGAAGATAAAATTTCAAAAAAAGAAACGTCCTTGTAATTGTGCCGGTGTTGATGACACGCTTCGACCCAGGACGAACATTACAGTGGCCGTAAACAGCCGTGCACGATACCGCAAACGGCCGTAACCGTCTGAGTTACGACCGTATACGGGCCGTAAATGACCCGTTTTGTATGCCCCGTATTACGGCCGTAACCCACCGTGACGTAAACGGTGAAACCCAACTACCGTGAACGTTAAAAACAGTGCCGTGACACGGTCGTATTTTGAACGAAACGACAGTTTACGACAACGAGAATCGCCGTATCTTAACATATACAGCCGTTTACGACCACCACGACTACCGTACATCAAAGTAAATGGCCGTTTTCCATTCGTTATTCTCAATGATTTCACCTGCAAATCAAGCAGGCCCAGGTCGAACATACACGGTCGTATACGACGGTAAATCGCCGTATTTGGCCGTATTACATGGCTCCGTATTACGATCGTAAATCTCCGTGTCGTAATACGGTGAAATACGATCAAAAACGACCGTAAAGCGCCGTATTTCGCCGTATACGGCACGGAGATTTACGATCGTAATACGGAGCCATGTAATACGGCCAAATACGGCGATTTACCGCCGTATACGGCCCGTATTTCACCGTATAAGGATGTCGTAAAGCTCGTCCTGGGGGTTTCATTCGGATTTCAAAACGATTTTATTTGGATTTGACATGGATTTCATTCAGATTTCAAAAAGATTTTATCCAGATTTCAAAAAGATTCCGTTTAGATTTGAAAAGGATTTCGCTTAGGTTTGAAAAAGATTTCATTTGGATTTAAACAAGATTTCATTTGGATTTGAAATGGATTTCATTTAGATTTCAAAAATATTTTATCCAGATTTCAAAAAGATTCCGTTTGGATTTCAAGAAGATTTTATTTGGATTTGAAAGCGATTTCATTAGGATTTCAAAAATATTTCATTTGGATTTGAAATGGATTTCATTCAGATTTGAAATGGATTTCATTTAGATTTCAAAAATATTTTATCCAGATTTCAAAAAGATTCCGTTTGGATTTCAAGAAGATTTTATTTTGATTTGAAAGGGATTTCATTAGGTTTTCAAAAAGATTTCATTTGGATTTCAAAACGACTTCATTTAGATTTGAAGTGGATTTCATTCGGATTTGAAATGGATTTCATTTAGATTTCAAAAAGATTTCAAAACGATTCCACTTGGATTTGAGAAAGATTACATTTCTGGGTCAAAAAGACAGTACCTTTCGACTTGAAAATCTAGTGGTTTCTGAGAGAGTGGAAATTCGCTGGAACATAAATAGGCATTTAAGGAAAAAACGGAAAACAAACTGAATCGTGGACATGATACTTGACCAGAATCGGGAAAGTGGTCAAACAAGAATCGACGACAAGAACTCGAAGATAAATCTGACTTCGGCTTTTAAATCTATCCCTCAATTAAACAACTAAAAGCCAAGGACAATCAGCCAATATGTAGAAGTTCTCGAGCGAAACAACAAGGGGAATGATTGCGCGACACGAAATCAAAGATAAATCGGATTTCAGATTTTGCATTTTCAATCTATCCCTGAATTGAATAACTAAAGGCGAAGAAAAATCTGGCTATATATAGAAGTTCTCGAGCGAAACAAAAAGGTGAATGATGGCGCGACACGAAATCTGAGATAAATCAGATTTCAGGTTTTGGATTTTAAATCTATCCCTGAACTCAATAACTAAAAGCGAAAATAAATCTTGAGGGCGTGGTTGTGGGTGTGGGAATCCGAATGTGGATTAACGGTAAATAGCGGTTTTACCCAGATCCACCCACATCCACACCCTCAAGATTTTCAATGGCGCTAAAAAGTTATCAAAATCAGTAGAAATATTTAGAAATGATCAAAAATCATCCGGATTTTGTGGTTATCAATAGAAAGTTTAAGAAATCAAAGATATCATGTGAAATCGAGCTAATTTAGTTGAAACCTTTCAGATCGTTTGGAATGATTTCGAATGATTTTTAGCTATTTGAAGTAATCCCTTTTGTTTTCTCATGATTTCCTTGATTTCCAATGATTTCCAATGATATCCATGATTTCTACTGATTGCGATGATTACGTCCGATTTCATGCGATTTCGATTGATTTCGCCTATTGAAATCAGTTTGTTTCCCCTTGTTATCGCATATTCTGAATGTCGTTTACAGTCACCGTATTTTCACGGTAGTTGTAAAAGTCGAGCGTTTACGTTCACTGTTTACGATTAACGTAATACCTCGTAAAACTTCGTATATGACCGTCGTCT